CTTTATGCTCACTGCTTCATCTATCTAGCTTTATTATTATATTGCAGGACAATTTCATTACATAGGGCAGAAGATAGTACTAGCAGGGCATTGAAGAAACTACATACATTATCTGGACCTGAACATCCTTTTACTCTGATTTATGCCTTCAATTGGCATCCGATTGACCTACAAACAACACCATTGTGTAGACCTCAATTTTCTGAACCTAATGGTATATAACACTTCATATATTGCTTTGGAATTCATTGATTTAGATCCACTTCAATCCCCCATTAGTGACATATTGTGACCAAGTGTCACTTATAGGGGTTTGTTTGGCTTCTAGTTCCCTCAGATGTGCTCACAAAAGTATACAAACAACCCCATTGTATTCTCCTGATCCATAGCTTTTTGGTGATACCACATTTGTTTGATTTGGTGAACATTACGTGAGGTTGCCAGACAATGCTCGGAGGTACACAAGTCACAGTAGAGTCACGTGACCGTGCCGCACGGCATACGCCTGGGTCGAAAATCCGACCCAGGTGTATGCCGGGCGGCAGGATTCAATCTCCGCTTCAATTTGACTAGTATCATTGATAAATGGGTTACAAAAGCACAGATGGGTGGATTCCCCTGCTATTCCCTTGTCAAATATACATGTGTTATATACCATCAGCAAGCTATTTGAGAGCTCTACCTAATGGCGACACTTACAAGCTTTCATCATATCTCTGCAGTGTTTAAATTGAAGACCTCCTGCAAACCAGAAGACTAAACTGGTGTTGAGCCCACAATCCTGCCAATTGAAATGCTATTCACATTGTCTCTTTTCCAATGTGTGTATTCCAATGTGTAAGATAATATTCCAATATAAAGTGATCAATTTAGTCAATCCTTGGCTTTCACAGCAGATAATCAACAAGTTGCAATAGAGTTATACAAAAATACACAAAATCGTGTTTTAAGAGGTAACCTGATTACCAATAAATGTTGATCTATATATCATTAGACTCTGCTGGCTGAGCTCTACAGAATGGAATGGTTTTCCAAGCCTCATATGCATCATATAGTGCCCAAATAGCCAAATAATGCGATTTAAAGAAGGGTTCACAGGGCCTGATTCTGTCAGTCACATAGGCGCCGAAAGCGTGATTTGGTGAAGTCCGATGGGCGCTAGTACATCGCGCTGGGCCAGCGGGTACTACTAGCACCTGTTGTACTTAGATTTTTTAAAGCAGCCGCTTTTTGGCGGTATTTCCCTCTCTGTTTCACCATTTCCCATCCATATAGCACATATTATATATCATCAGAAAGCCCTTTACAAGCTCTACAACATGGTGTTATTATGGCTTTGATTGTCTCAACATTGGGCAATAGAAACAGGAAATACTTCAATTCTAGTCTTCTAAACCAAGTGTTACGCTCTGCGCGCACCTCCGCTCTGAACTCCGGAATTCCCACGCTTCGGACTTCGTACTCCAATCTCCGGAGCTCCCGCACCCTGGAACTCCGAGATTTCACGTGTACGTTTCCTTATGATTGCACCATCCTTCCTTCATCTTGTCCTTTAACAATAAGCTTTATTGTCTTTGTCCCCGGACTTCAGAACTCCGGAATCTCCGAACTCCGGATTTGATATTCCTTACGCTCTTATTGTCTTCCTTAACAATAAGGTTCTGTTCCTTAAATACACGCCCAGAATGTTGTAGTACCTCAGTTTGGATATCTTGTTACCCTCCTCGTTTACCCCTCTTGTTACCCTCCTTGTTTACCCCTCGTGTTACCATCTTGTTACCTTCTTCGAAGTTTGCACTACCCCTTGTCAATCTATCCCTTTGGTCTACCTCTGTTCTGACCTCCGAACTCCAACATTCCTAATCTGGTAACTCCGAGCCTCTGTGCTCCGGAACTCCGGACTTCAGACTTTGTTTGATCTTGCCCCATCAACAAGTCCCCTTGGACTTCGTCCCTCGCCATCCTCTTCATCCTCCTCTCCTGGACTCTGTTCTGCTCCAATCGTCTCGGACTTTGTTCCGCTTAGTCAGCGCAGAACTCCGGCTTAGTCAGCCCCAGACTCCGGTCAAGTCCGACCCTTTGTTCCTTCGGAAATTAAGGACAACTGCAGGAGGTCTCAGAGCGTTGCTAATAGCTTCGCTGAAGTCCTTCCCCTCTGTGCCGTACCTCCGTCCGAACTCCGGACCCTTCCAGACCCCGGAACTCCAAGCTCCGGACCTACCGTGTGGCACGTCCCTAACACCAAGACAGAGTAGATAAATTGGAGTTTCAATCACTCTAGTAACTGCCATAGATGAAAGAGATAATCATGGCACTATATTGTGTCTCTGTGTCCACATAATGCTCCATCAAATACTTGATTAGTGTTCTGTCTTGGCAGGAATCATTGTAGACCCTTCACCACTACTAGCACATTTGCTACTGCAAACTTTACAATTGATGAGGAACGAAGAAATTGTTTCTTATGGGGTGACCTTCCCGCCAACTCACGACACCTCAATTGATGCCCGTGGGAAAATATTTTGAAACTCCGCTAATCAGCCATTAGTGTTGAGATAGGCGCCACATACATTCTCCACTTACAAACCCAGGGTTAGGGTTCTCCTCCATTAGGAATTTTAGGGTTAGACACTAGATTGCTGCACACAGCCACTCTGACCATCTGCTAATGAGGCTCTAATGCTTCCCAATAGGGATCTATGTAACCCTAGGTGGCACTACACACCTGTGGCTTCATGCACACTCAAATGCAGGCTATAACAAACATCTATATAGACTCAAACACAATGTGCATCATAGCATAAGGGTATATCTATATAGTTTACATTACTAGCAATTGTGCTAGTAGTGGTGAAGGGTCTATGATTGTTCCTGCCAAGAGAGAACACTGATCACATATTTGCAGGGTGGTTATGTGTACACATAGGACATGCTATAGTGCCATGATATATGTGATTGTATCTCTTTCATCTATGGCAGTTACTAGAGTGATGAAACTGCAGTTTATCTACTCTGTCTTTGTTTAAAAGACTAAAATCAAAGTATTTCCTTTTTCTGTTGCCCAATGTGAAGACAATCAAAACCAAAACAGTACCATATTGTAGAGCTTGTAAAGGGCTTTCTGATGATATATGATATGTGCTATATGGATGGGAACTGGTGAAACAGCGAGGGAAATACTTCTAAAAAGCGGCTGCTTTTCAAAAACTCTTTCTAAGTACCACAAGCACTAGTAGATTGCGCTGGGCCAGCGCAATCTACTAGCGCGCATAGGACTTCACCAAATCATGCTTTAGGCGCCTATTTGGCCAGCAGGATCAGGCCCTGTGAAGCCTTCTTTAAACCGCATTCATTGGCCATTTATACATTATGCAGGGTATATATGACCCGGAAAACACCTCCATTGTATAGATATTGGCGAGCAGGTTCTAATGATATATATATATCAACATTTATTGATAAGCAGATCACTGCAGGAAATCTGATTTTGCACATTTTATACCACTTTGTAGGCCAATACTGCTCCTGTGTTGTTTATAGCCCACAGTGTGCCCAGGTATTTATGATGTGTCTACATGACATTGCTGTCTTGATACTAGGACGACTGCAGAAACAATAATGTATATATACCAAAACCTGACAGAGACATGGGTTTAATCATGCCCACTTACCTCTTTCTAGTGTTGTATTGAGGTATTACATTGCTTGTATAGCGGAATTTTCTGGGTACACTAGTATCATAGCATCACCATTGAATAGAGATCAATATTCTGAGCCCAATAGTATATAATACTTGACCATTTGATGAATATGCCAGGCCACTAGCGCTTATTGCCAATTGTGGCACTAATAGAAATATATCTAGTCCATATCTTATTCCACTGTCACCACATCCTTGATTTGTTTGCACAGATGGATTCCCCTTGTCAACAGCTTCCTGATGATATATCATATGTCCCATTTGGACAAGCAGAAGCCAAGATATTGACCCTTCTCTGTTTCAATGGCACGCCGACGCGATTCCGCGTCGTCGTGCCACTAGCTTTGGCTTTGTTTGTTTTCAGCCACAGCTCAACATAATGTGCTCATTAATAGACAAGTGTATGGTGTAACATACCACTATTATATATCACCAGAAAGCTGTTGATGAGGAGAATGTAATGGGGGTGTTTGTATAGGATACTGAGCACATATGGGAGTGCTACAAGCCAACCAACCCACCATAAGTGACTCTGAGTCACAGTCTGTCACTAATGGGGATCAATGTGGGTCTAGGTCAGTGTTTTCCCAGGCATAATGTCAAGTATTATATACTGTCAGGTTCGGAAAATTGAGCTCTACACAATGGTGTTGTTTGTAGGTCAATAGAATGCCAATTGAAGGCATAAATTGGAGTAAAAGGATGTTCAGGTCCAGGTTAAGCAGTTTATCTGATACACTGCTACCACTATCTTCTGCCTTATATAATGAAAGTGTCCTGCAATATAATAATGAAGCTTGATACATGGATTAGTGAGCATAAAGACCAGGTATTGTGCATACAATCTGGCAATGACCTTCAGCCACAATCAGTGTTTAGTGCATTAAAGCCTGTGTATTTGATATAAAACCATGATTGTACCACCATTAGATGCACATTAGAAGGATTTTTCCAATGATATATATTTGTCCTATGATGTGGTAAAGAATGAGCCAACAGGGGGCAAAATGAGTTGCAGCTGTGGCTGAGAACAAACAAGACCATACTTGGTGGCAGGGGAACGCAGCTCAGTGTTCCCTTGCCACAGACTGTGGTCTTGTTTGGTTCCCAACACAAATGCCTCAATATCTTGGCCCCCAGTTGGCTATATGTCATGAAATATATATCAACAGAAAGCTATGCACGAGCAAAGTCCATATATCCAAAAATCATTTGGATGTGGCCACCTTTGCTGCCACTATGCACAACACAAAATCCTATTAGTGCCACAATCAGAAAAAAGCGCCCATGGCACATGACCTGATGACATCATTGCCTCCCCCCAAGTGTTATATACCACCAGGCTCAGAATTTTGATCTCTATTCAATGGTACTGTCTATATATTTGTTGAGTGAACCTGATAATAGCCAAGTATACATGCTTACCATTCCAAATAATCCAAACTCTCATTGATATCTGTACTTGCTTAGATGAGATCAGACAAGATTGCTCTGTCTAAGGGAGAATCATGTCCTCTATATGTGAGTCACATTTGTATTGTCTTTATATACTGGTATTCGACAGAGAGAAATTAGCTAGGCTTTGAAAAACATATTGATCAACAAGTTATATCACTGGTGTGTGCACAATACTGTGGATTATCCATAAGGTACATAATGTATTACACACACCCAGGCTCACATTGAGATGCATGTTCAACCATGGGAATGCATTGTGTCAATGTATGATGTGTCAATGTTCATTTTTGTTTTGCACACACACCACCATGGCCACTACCCGTGTCCTCAATACCCCTGAGCTCCTCTCCCTCATTGGCCATGCCTGCTGCCTGCCCTGGCAGTACTACAACAGAGATGAGGTCCACGGTGACTCTGACCTGCATGAGGTCCTTGCCTTGCACACGGTGTCCAGGGACTTCTACCATCACTTCTCCTGCCCCTTTCCCCGCACTGCACTGAGCATCTGCACGGCCCATCAACTCCATACCCTCTTCTTGGATGTCATAGCATTTGAAGAGCACGGATGTCAATGTGCGCTCAGCAGTGGTGATCCACAGCGTGTCCACATCAACTTTCTCAATCTTTATCTTCTCGAGGTGGACTTGCACAACAAGACCGGCAATGGCCCTCTGCTCTGGGACATCGCTCAACGTGCCACCCCATACATGACAAACTGGACAGAGCTCAACATTGTCACCAGCGACAACTTGTCCACAACAATGCTGAGCCGTGCCAGACACTGGTGGAGACCCTCCCTCTGCCACATCCAAACCCTGCGGCTCAAGGATGAGTGCAACTACGGGGTGGGCCAGTTTGTGCATGCATGTTTTCTTGGTCATGCATAATTACTAACATCCTTGTAGGGTGTCTCTCACCTGTTTGGGCCATCACCTTGGGACTCCTTGCCATGGCTCCTATATGTTTTCACCCCCTTCCACAACCTTCGCACACTCCTCATCGACACTCCGGCTTTCCCATACCCTGTCCCCCTTGACATTGACCTTGATACCTTTGCCAATGCAGCCAACTTGGGTGCATTCTTGCAGGCCTACAACTTCACCCCCCATGACCTCACACTCTACATACACACAACTTCTTCCCATTCTTCCACATCTCCGACACTTCTACCTTCAGTACCTGCACTGGCAACCACTCGGCATCACTGGGAAGACCCACAGGGTGGCACCAGGTATGGCTGCATGTTCCACATCCTTCAACGGCCTCTGAACCCAGATGCACCTGTTCAATCTGGAATCAACGTTCTGGACCATTATGACAGCCAAACCTTCAACACTGACCCCTTCTCTGATTGGGTTGGTCCATACACTCCCGACCCCTCCGACCCACTCAGTCCTCAAATCTATGAGCATCCAGTGCACATCTATGCCTCCATTGAGGGGCCTACTGTCCGGTAAACACTTAATTCTGTGTTGTTGTTTGCACCTTATGCTAACACAGTCTTGACAGCACTAGCTTGAGTGGTAGTACATAGTGTGTATGTACATATGTTTGTGTTTGTTTGTATTTGAGGTTAGTGGGTCATGTTGAATTTTGTGTGAGAAAGTTGTGTGAGGTTAATTACACAAGCAAGCTAAATCTTGAACACTAGTGAGAGTGTACCTACCTCTCCTGGCTAAGTGTTGATACCCACTATACAATAGGACTCAGTGATCATTTAGCTGTGGATCTGTATAAACATGCAGTGATTTATTATGTATATCAAATCCAAATGCTCCTGATAACAGTCTCGAGCAGTTTTAAAAGTTGCTTGCATCAAAAATACTAAAATATGTGTATGTAAATGCTTGTCAGATGTATAGATTGTATAATTATCACGATAAACTTAGTTCCACTTGATATATCAGATTTGTGAGTCAATGTGCAGGTCAAAAAGCCATTGAGCATGAAAATGATGGAAGTATTTGATGTGATTCAATAAACAGCATTGTCACAAAGAAAGAAGAGCATCTAATCATGTCAATTGTTTTCACATGAACATATGCCAACTGTTTACTCACTGTCAAAACACTTAAATTATGACTTTCATTTCAACTAAATGTGCTACTAACAAACTATCCTCTCATCAATCGTACCTGCCAGTCATGGCCCTCTCCACCCCAAGTTCTCTTATCACAGAATCTCTCTGTGATGCTTGCACATGGAATGAAACCAATTTTATGACCACATGCTTCTGCATGATGTTAAGAAAAACTCAAGCAAAATTTGGGTCCTGGCAAAATACCAATCTGTCCACCAACATGAGGTATCTCAACTGTTGTTCTAAACTTAGGGGCTGAGCACGCTCTTTACAGTAAAATCCTCCTATTCCCCATGGATCAAGATGTGGAAACAGCTAAGACAGCAGCTTGTCATTTTAGAAATTGGGAATCAATTGAGAGCCTGCTTGAGACTGCACAAATCACTTCTTTTTCAAGCAGTGTGTTAGCACCTTCAATGGCATTTTGTATGCACTAATTGGTGACTTATCACTGTCAGTATACCTGACAGTCTCCATCAGCACTTGGCTAGAGAGGGCCATAATTGGCAGGTCCAATTGATGAGGGTACATATATCTTAGTATAATTCATATAATTGGGCTAAGAATTCAGATTGATAATGCATTTAGATCTGGCCCAGAGCAAACTATGGATGCTGTTTTGATATATGTAGTAGATATGAGCCTTTGAACAATCCACATCATCCATATGCATTGATCTTGTATCAATTCCACTGCTGTCATCTGCTAAAAAATTCAGACATTCAAACTCCCATTTTTGGTTTTAAGCATTTTTGATTGTCTTCAAGGTATTCAAATATGCATTACTTGATATAGCACTTGAATTGATGCATCCTAACATAGATGCTATCAAAGGCACTGCATAAATAAACCAGGGAATTTCCTCCACTGGTATAGTATAATGATGTCACAGTATTCAAGTAGATCAATGATCCAACCTTATCTTAACTGCCCAGGGTGCTCAGCTATAACAATCAGATGTGTCACTTGACAATTCTCACCAAGATACAAATATTCTCATTTTATAACATGGCTCAACTCAGACTTCATTTAATTCCATAACTAGTTATTCAGCTCTGCAGAAGAAACTCTTATAGCATTTCTTGATCATCTCAGCATTAGCAGGTCCATTTATAATCCAAACAATATCAGTAACTGGAGTCATATATTACCATGAGTGTGGTTTTATTGATTTTATATAACGGTCATGCCATTGACACATTGATTGAGGTTGATTTTCTGTGATTATTAGCCCTTAAGCCTAGGCAGCTTTAAGTAGGAGTTTACCCATACCTACCACATACTTCAACTTTTAGAGGAGTTTCAGCAAGACATTCATCTTTGTAGCTAATTTGATGCCATGTAATGGAGAGCATGATTATGTGACCCCATTGCCTAATCAGATTGCCATATATGGTGCAATGACACACATCAGCTGCAATACTGCATTTATGATAGTTTGAGCTCCTTCCAGATTCCATTACTAAATATATAGACAGTACCATTGAATAGAGATCAAAATTCTGAGCCTGGTGGTATATGACACTTGGGGGGAGGCAATGATGTCATCAGGTCATGTGCTTTGGGCGCATTTTCCAATTGTGGCACTAATAGAATTTTGTATTGTGTATAGTGGTAGCAATACTGGCTACATCCAGGCCATTATTAAATATATGGACTCTGCTCATCCATAGCTCTCTGTTGGTACATATTTTGTGGCATATGGACAACTGGGGGCCAAGATATTGAGACATTTGTGTTGAGAACCAAACAAGACCACAGTTGGTGGCAGGGGAACACAGCTCAGCGTTCCCCTGCCGCTAAGTATGGTCTTGTTTGTTCTCAGCCACAGCTGCAACCCATTTTGCCCCCTGTTGGCTCATTCCTCACCACAACATAGGACATTTATATATGATTGGAAAGGGCCTTCTAATGTGCATCTAATGGTGGTACAATCATGGCTTTATATCAAATACACAAGCTTTAATGCACCAAACACCAATTGTGGCTGAAGGTCCATGCCAAATTGCATGCACATTACTCAGTGTTTGTGCTCACTACTTGATCTTCCTAGCTTCATTATAGCATTCCAGAACACTCTCATTATATAGGGCAGAAGATAGTACTAGCAGGGCATTGAAGAAACTACATTATCTGGACCTGAACATCTTTTTACTCCAATTTATGCCTTTAATTGGCACCCTATTGATGCATCAATCACTCTAGTGACTGGCAATGGTAGATAACATACAACAACAGATATCATGCTCTATGTTAGGTGATAGCTGACTAGCCTCTTTTACTGGCATGTGGCATACATATACTACTACCAAATTATTGCTTTAAAAGGAAACTAAGGGTATAGTACTTGAACTACACTATAACATTTGTTGAAGATCTCTTTTGATACAGTGCATAGCCTATATGCATAGTGGGCAGTGAGCGGCACATGTGCTGTGCAACTTAGGATTACACAGGCACCCAGGGAGAGGCTTTACCTGTGGTAAGGATTGTAATTAGAACTGACCTAAGGCTAACCCTAAGCTGTGCTGATAAAAGGGAGCCCTAACCCAAGTTTTGTAAGTAAAGGATGTAGGTGGCACCTATTTCAAAACTAACCTTTGATCAGCTGGGTTCTAAATTTTTTTCCCACGTACACAACTTGAGTTGGCAGAAAGGTCACCCCATAAGAAATGATTTCTTCATTCCTCATCAATTGTAATTGTTGTTCTTGTTGACTCCCATAGCAAAACACAAGAAGAACCCTAGAGTTGCATAGCCCGAAGGTACCATCCAGAACGAGCTGGCCACCATGACAGTATTTCCATGCAGCTTATTGCATCTCTAGGGTTGCGATACATACCTTCAGGCGCTCTGCCTCAGTTGTAAGAGCAGAGTAGTGGAAGATGGCATTGTGTACATCGTGCTTGAGGAAGCGGCTCTTAGGGTCAAGCCAGTTGTGTACACTCTGTTTGGGCACAACCAAGATATCAATTCCAAAGGCCTCGCAGTAGTGTTGGCGGTAGAGACTGCGAAAGTCACTTGTCTAAAGGTTGTAGTGTAAGTTGGCGTCAGCAGGGCATGCATCTGCCTGCGCTTGGTCTCTGCAGTGCCCTGCACAGAGCATCTTTATTTTTGTTTTGAGTCAGTTTACCTTGCGTTAAAGCGCAACTGTCGAAGCGGAACCTCTGCGACGTGTGGGTGCAAAGAAACTGCTGGAAAGTGCACCATAGTCGCAGCTTGACATGCTGTGTTATGCTCGAGTATACCAATGAATTGCAAGATAAACCTGGTCTCCTCAATATAGGTTATATCCGCATGGCCAAGACATTGCGTGAAAGGATATGGTGCATGGCTCTTCCAGCCTTTCTCAGGGCCTGATGGGTTAGAGTCGCCATCTGCTGCCATTGGACTTGTTCCTGCATTGTGCTTGTGTGCTGTACTGGTGCAGCTCTCTCCATTGCTGCCGCCAGTGATATTGTCAGGGAATGGGCACTTTCTTTTGGATTTGCCTTGTGAGCGAGTGTGGGTATCATACCCGCATGCACTAACTTATAGTTAGCATTGTCTGAGCCACATAGTCATATAATAAATACATGACTCTACCATTGATACATTGCGCGTATGATTGTGTCCTTAGTTGTCTTACGGAATCGCCGCCCAACCGTCCCTGTGGTTTTCCATTGATTTTCCAATGATTTGAGCCAGTTTGTATCAAGGCCATGAAGCCACAGTAGATCCCGGGCCTGCAACTGGGTAGTCTCGGTATACACATGTGCAATGTGTTTTTTGCCATATATATCTCTTGCAGGCGGTCAAGCTGTCCTGGTTCGCAGTACAAAGTGCTCCACCGAGGCTTCATTTGTTCATATCAGTTCAGTAATAATATACAAGCAGACATTGTACACTAACTGCAGTATCGAGCCACCTCTCATCCCATCCATTTGGCAGGAACAAAGTTGACGGTGCCAGAGCTGAGTCAAAGGGGGCACCAGAGGTTGTTGCAGACAGCGGTGGGCCAGTCGGAGGGGGCTGTCCGTCGAGTGTAGGTAGCTCAGCAACAGACAGAATATCATCGCACAGGTGCAATAGCTTCAGCATTGTGGGAATCCCAGTGAGACGAGCGGTCACAGGCAAGGTGTTGTAGTAGCAGGGGGACCTAGCAGGACAACAGAGTAGGAGGTGCAGCTTTGAAACCAGCGTGCAGACTCTGAGGGAGACCCGGTGAACAGTTGTCCTGGCACCAGGCAGGCCAGACCTCAAGAGCGAGACTTGTCCTGGAGACACCCTTCTGGATGCGCACAATGATGCACAACAGCACCACAGTGTCGCAGGTTGTGCCGCTGGACAATGGTTGTATAACTGTACGCCAAAACATACACTGGGACCTGTACATCAACTTCTGCTATAAAAACGAAGACATCAGCTTGAGCGTAGATGAGCAATGACGGAGCACTCACCTTCAATTAGTACCACAACAGGACAGTGAAGCTATCATGTTTTAGTGATGGCTTCATGGCGGACCAGTGCGTCGGAGCGCACTCCATCTCCGATAGTCCTTTCAGATAATTAAAGCAGTCAGAATGCACAAAGGCGGCGGCCTAGTGTTGCAGGGTCCTGTCCTAGGACCACTGAAGGACCGAGGACTGGACTGGGACTGGACTGATTAGGACCACTTTTAAGTCCTGGCCATCTGAAATATTTTCAGGACTGCCTAGGACTGCCCAGGACCGGACCTGGACCAGTCCTTATATAAGCCGTTATATGTGCACTAATTGTCATCAAGTACATCCAAGTTGTCAAATCATGTGTGATGTAGACCATATATAGCTTATTTTGGAGTGCATTGGGTTTGTCTGTTGTACCATTGGTCCATTCATAAGTATCAAGGGTAGCATAGTGAAACCATAAACTGCTAAGGATTATACTTCATGCGTGATAATGATAGCTACATGGATTTCTAAAGTGATGTAAAGGCCTGCAAAGGTAATAAACTAATATAGGCTTAAGTTGATGCAACTTATAAGCATATTTGACTGAAGGACGGGTCCTAGGACCAACAAAGACCAGTCCAGACCAGTCCAGGACTTGAAAGGTGGTATGATGAGTACCGGGCAGACTTACTCTGCTGTCATGCATGGCATACGGGGGCAGGATGAGGAGTGCATCAACACCACACCACACTGCACACAATTTCCAGATGGAAGTGGAGAATGAATATAATAGCTAATAAAAAATAAAAACTGAACAAAAGCGGCCGGGGGCGGCTTTAGACACCAACCACACTTGTTGACAGGGCACACTCCCACCCACTTGATGGGCTTCTCGCCAGCTTCTCATCCTTCCTTCAGCACTATGTGGCACACCTTCCCTGTCAGTGGACACCTTCCCTTGTCTCCCAGCTTTGCGATCAACGACGTCATTCATGGTGAGGGCTTGCCTGCCCTGAGAAAGTGTGTTTTATAATGTAATCCATGTTTGAAGAAACTGAGTGATGATAGAAGTGTCTCAATACATTGTGCTACTGACTAGTGCCTTGTTGCCCTTCAAATGGAGGGAATATTGCAGGCATTGATAGGAGACAGTATATCCATCTAATGAACAGGATCAAGTCACTTGTTGAAGGCCTATTCAATCAAGGTCTTGTTTAAGATATATCTGATGACTCTGATCTATTGCATGCTGTGAAAGTAGCTGGTGTTTCCCCAACTAAGATTAAGTAAGTGGTAGGTATGGGTAAACTTGTGATTGGAAGCTGTCTAGGCTTCAAAAGGAGCTATTGATGATCACAACCTTCATCATGAATTGATACATTAATGGAACAAATGTGTATGACTTCAATAAATCACATTTATGGTGTAATTATGATTTTATTTGCTTGTGTGGCTTAGTTTATAAAATGACCTGTTCATGCTGAGAGACGATTGAGGAATTACAAGTGTCATCTGAAAAGCTAAATAACTTGGTGTGTATTAAGATGAAGTCTAGGGTAAGCAGTGTTATTAAAATGGGGATATTTGTATCATGATGAGACAAGGATTTCCAAGTGACATATGTGATTGTGATAGCCGAGTACCCTGAGCAGATGGAATGAGCTTAGATCATTACTCTACTTAACAACATATTGAGCATTGTACTATACATGGGGAAGACACTCCCTGATAATCTTCATGTGGTATCTATTTGACATCATCTATGTTAGGTTGTATCAACTCAAGTGCTAAATCAAATGATGCATATTTGAATACTTTGGAAAAATGCTTAGAACAAGTACAGGGAACAAACTTTGATGTCTGAGAGCAGATGAAAGCAGTGGAATCAATGCAGAATCAATATATGTGTATGACCTAGATTGTTAAAAGGATACTATTGGCTCAGACCTGCTATATATAATGGTATAGTAGGTGTCATTTGTTCTGTGCCAGGTATTTCTGTGTATCTTTGTGGTGTGTCCAAAACAGGTGTGACTGGCATTTTGTATCAACATGCTGCTAATAATGCATACCCTCATCAATCAGACCAGCCAGTCTTGGCCCTCTTTACCCAAGTGCGTAGACATACAAACATACTGGGCATCATGCCAACAGCAACTTCATTACCTGCAATGAGATTTGAAGGTACCCCTGAGGAGCATGTCAGGATGAATAAACAAACAAGCCATGAATGGTTTCCTACCTGTTGCAAGCAAATTTGGACTCCCATCCGACCATGAGGTCATTGCAAGTAGGGATTGGGGAACTGTGAGGGTGTAATGGAGTGGATACTCTGTGAGGCAATTTGGATGGATATGTGGTGCAGAGAAGGAGAGATCAGGAGAGATCAGCGGCTATTTGCTGGCCCTTTGGGCTTATAAAGGAACACTATGGGAATATCTGGTGTGCAAATGGCGGAATTCTTTCAGGAACATCCCCTGTGAGAACTATAACAAAAACAGTCACAAAACTGCACAGTAGTTATGGACATCACTAGAGAGCATGATTCCTCCCCATAGACCTGTCCTACTACGTAGTTCAGAAATTTTCCCCTGATGTCACGGCCATACAACTGAATTGACGAATTTTTTTGAGCAGGCAGTGTCACCTGGTACAAAGGGTGTCGGATTGAGTGAAATGGTACAGTACATTTTTCAAAGCAATGCAGACTTGTGGATAAGCAAAGCAGCACTTGATCTAAGCCTACAGGCCTCACTGATGCAGTATACACACATTGACACATCATATTCGGACTTTACAGATAACACAGACGGGCCGACGTCGAAGCCGCACAAGAATCTAAGCGACGTACGTAATTCGAAAGTACTAATCTGGCTCCCCAATACGAAGGGTCGAAGGTTCTGTCCAAGAGGAGCCAGACGGGGAACAGCGAAGCGCGAGCGGACGAACGAAAGGACAAGAAACCAGACAGCGCGTACGTACGAAATCCACCAAACATCAACCTTCCGAACAATAGTACAATGACATCAGCCGCCACGACCACGAGTGACACGAAACGCCGCGCGCGCAGGCTACAAACAGCGCGGGGGCGGCGCGATCCTTGCAACATCAGGAACTCAGCGGCGCGCCTCGGTGGAACTGAATCGCGGAGGCAAAAGCGTACATTCGGGCCCCCTGCTGGAGAAAGTACTGCGTCAACGGCGTCTGCGCTGTGCGCGCGCGCGGCGCGGAGAAACGGGCGATGGGAAGCAGAAGCAAAGATGACGGGCACGCGTGAGTCATCGACGCGCGTACCAGCAGAGGGCGTGTGCTTCTCACCTGGCGCGACGTAGTCTCGGAGCGGAAACACGTCAAACGGCAGCGAGCGCGCTTCTGCGAGGATCGTTCCACTGGTGTTCCCCTGGATGATCGTCTGCGGGTCGTCGAACCTATCCAGAAGAGCAATCGGAAGCTGCCGGGAGACGCGAGAAAACGAGACGTCACTCACCGTGGCAGGCGCATGAGCGTGACCTTGAGCTGGAAGCGGCCGCGCTGGCGCACGCCCACGTCCGGGTACATGAAGTACACCCCGCGCCGCCCCTGCAGGTTGCGCAGCAGGTGCGGCGAGGACACCAGCTGGCCGTAGAGCAGCCGCTCGCGCTCGCGCGGTGCGGTCGCGCCCGCCGCCGGCGTGGCGTAGTCCATAGGCGCCGCGCCGTCCCCGCTGAGCAGGGAGAGCTGGGCGACCAAGAACGGGAGCTCAGACTCGCTGCGACTGGGTTCAGCCGCGGCCCATCACCCCACTACCCCCGCCTGCGCCTACTCACTCGATCACGATGCGGCCGGACGAGTCGCGCAGGACGAGCTGCGCTATGAGCGGCGGCGCGAGGGGCAGGCGGGTCAGGGTGGACGCCCCAAACTCGGCCGTCCTATCGGGGTGCTGGACAATTTCTAGACGGTAGGTTCTGAGACATGATCGGTCAGAAACACGCAAAGGAATAATAGTGAACGTGTACGCACCGTGGCTGGTCACTGGATATCTCAGAAACGACCTGAACGTCGTCCGCCCGTCCTAGAGACGAAGTCGGCCGGTTGACCCCGCGCGCACGGTGCGAAAGCGGCGACGACAGCCGTCTGGACCGAGGAGTGGTATCCGCTCGCGAGGGCTCGTTCGCAAGAAAATTAATGGACAGCTTGTTGCGGTCTTTTGGGGAGACGATAGGTCCCAGGGACAGTCTTGTCCCCGTGCGCAATGCCCCAGGCGCCACATGGGCGTCGGGAGAGGGACAGTCCATGCACTAGCGGCGGGATCAGCGTGCACAGACATGCTGCAGCGCGCGGAGGTGGGGACGTACCGCCAATGCTCTCCGATACGGGCGCGAGCGGGCAGACAGACTGAAAAGTCTGAGTACACGACGTCGGACAGGCTCAAGCCCAGGAGGGGGTGGGATGCTGAGCGGAGGGAGAACTAAGGTGCTGTCTATAGACGGTCCGATCATTCAGGGAGCGGGCCAGAGTCTCTCAGAGGCCTGCTACGTCAGCATGAGGAGGGCGCGAGTCCGGCCACACTGTGTCGGGGGCATAAATACTTCGGGACGGTGGAATCCCCAGACTGATCGATGCAAAGCGGCTTCCAATTTCAGGGACCGGGGCGTTAGAGGTTTATGTCAGTATATGGCAGAATGCGGCCGGTGCCCAACTCAATGGCGCACAGGTGGCCCGAGCCCGACGGCGGTCTAAACTTAACGGCAGCAGGCAGGCGTGAGCGATGGAAAGGGGGTGCGATGACTCACGGGAATTAAGGTAGGGGTAAATTATACATGATATACGCTAGACTCGCCGCTTGACATAACTCCAGAGGCCAGCGCTCCCTGCGATGACGGAGGCCGCAGCGAGGGCAGGCTTCACACCGGCTAGACCGAGGCATAACAATAAGACGGAAGCTCGCGGAGAAGAAATCAGGAAGACGGACCTGTTGACTTATATAAGGCGCCAGTGAGTGCGCCAGCAGCCATACTCCCGTATGTGTCGTGCTTGCCGCGGAACGCGTCTATGGAGGAATTGAAGGCGTTGTATGCGAGAGCTGGGGGCGAAAGGGTCGGCAAACGTCAAACGTACGAGGCAGGACAAAAGGGACGTACCGAGACAGCCGGCCGAGTTGCCTATAAACGTGCCTCGCCGAGTGACCGAGTTAAGGATACTGTTGATCCTTAGCCGTGCGTTGGACACGGCGAGGGGTCTTCGCGCGCCCTCGCGCAGCCCCCACACCCCGCCAAGGGCGAGCCCTGAGGATGCGGTGTGAGCATGTGATGGCGGTAGACAATAAGAGGAGATAAGGTGTGACGGCGGGGGTGACGCTCGGTCAGACTAGCATGATCGTCTTCGGATGAGAAGGATGATGGGGGGAGGGGTGGACATGCAAAGGCGATAAAGAGTACGGACCACTGAGGTACATCGTTCCCGTGCCATAACAGAGGTCGTCACTCCAGCCGCGGGACGGAATGGCGGTGCCGGCTCCCGGTAGGTCGCTCGTCTTCTCATCGTCGAGAAGAAGGTAGTCGAGCTTGTCGTCTATGCCTGCCATTGGATGGAGCTTAGCTGGGTCGAATGAGCCGAGGAGGAGGTCATGGCTGGAGGTCGGAATGCCGTCCAGAGGATCGTCCTTTACGAAAGAGGAGGTGGACCTGTCGCTTGCGCTGGCCATTTTGAGGGTCTCGACTGCGTGGGCCGGCCGCGAGGGGGAATGGGGTGGAGGAAGGTGAGTGAGAGCACTGGAGGACGTCGTGCGCGTCCTCCAGCTTGCCACCACAATTTCGCTTAGGTAAGCTCGGCGTCTGTTTCTCTTTGACCACACAAATCCACACAGCGCCTTTCTTCCTTCTGCTCCACTCCGCCGACAAATTCACTAGCATCTGCAACCTGATATCAGTAGATCGCTAGGCACGCTGCGAGGCTCGACCAGCTCGATCAAGGACAAGGACGTGAAGCTTCCACGCCCTGGGGCAGCCAAATTAACGCGAGTTCAGACGCCTTCCGTGGGCTTCGGGGAGTTTGAGTTTATAGCGTTATCGTTCCAAGTGCGCTTACTCTGGCAGATGCACGTCTGCCGTACTGGCGCGTAGATTGGGATCCCATCGTAGCAAGCAACTCGCTGGGTCATCTTGACAAGAAGGAGCAGCGGTACTGATAGCGCCCACTTCGACGTGCTTGGCATAGGAACGTCCATCTCACAGGCCTCCAGAGTTTGACGAGTGTGGTGGGGTGGCTGAGAATGTCTACCACCTTCCCCGCGTTCCGCAGCGTGCGCGACAGTCGCGTGTACGGCCGCTAGGACGACCGCACCCTCTGTCGGGGTGTCTTCGTGCTGCTGCGCACCATGCTATCGCCACGAGGTGCACAGCGTTGAAGCTCTGCAGGCAGGAAAGGGATTTCGTAGACTGGTAGAGTCCCGGTCGGACTGCGCGCTAGACACAGCATCGGACTGCGCTCGGTCATGTTGCGCAGATTGGCTGTGCTCCGGACAGGCATCCGCTGCATCTCTGCTGGACGAGTGCGGACCGCACATGTCAGACGCGGCGTGTAAGGCCATCCCGAGGGCGAACATGAGCAAGCGAGGGCGGCGCCGAGCGGCGGAAGGTCCTCGCGCAGGTCACGTGTGCGGCCTATTATAAGCGGCCGGAAGCGGCAGCTGCGTGTCTCTCTCTCCCCATCCATCGCACGCCCTCTCTCATCTCTCTTCACTACACTCATGTCCAACAAAGACTACTACGGCGGCGGCGGCCAGCAGCAGTACTACCCCCCGCAGGGTGTGTAGCACCAATATGCAATATCGGCTCGGCTGATCTCGGGTTACAGGACCTCCCCCTGGCCAGCAGGGCGGCTACTACCCTCAGCAGCCCCAGCAGGCGTACCAGGGTGGCTACCAGCAGCCATACGGCGGACAGCAGCAGTACGGCCAGCCCTACCAGCCCCAGCCACCCCCTCAGACGGTATATGTGTAAGTCTAGACAAGCCATGTCCCGTGGCGCGCCGCTGACTTTGCAACAGCCAGCAGCAAGACAAGGGCGGAGGAGGCGGATGCATGGCCTGCCTAGCGGGAATGTGTTTGTGTTGCTGCGCCGAAGGTACGTCATTCTCGTCTACTTAACGAGAGCAATACTGACTGGAGGTGCAGAGCTCTGCTGTGACTGCTTGTTCTGAGCGTGGACGTCGTACGACTTGCGCTGCTGGCCCGGTGTTGCTACGACCGATATCCCCCTGCCCCCTCTGTATGTTTCCTGTAAACTAGGACACTTTCCTATCTCTACGGTTTTTTCTGGACACATCGGACTGCTTCCATAACACTTGTGTGACATCAACGTTAATTTGAGCTCGAGCATGGTGAGAAAAGGGGCTTGGCGAGAGGAGTCGTTGCCGCGTGGGCCCGAGCTCACGGGCGTCTATATTGCGCGCCTACGGCTCCGGCGCTCCCAGCCGGCCTGGAGGGGGCGTCCGGCGCCTGGTGTAACGGCCTCGCTGTGATTTGTCCGGGCGAGCGATCCGGATTCTTCCGTCGACGAGGAGTGTGACTTGCTGTGACCGACCGACCGACGCTCTGCACTCTCTACACCGCGTCGACGACGACCGACTCCCTCCGCCTATCCCCAAAATGCTCACCAGGCTCCCCGCGGGTGCCCTGAAGAACGTCGCGGCGCTCTCCAGCGCACGCTCCTCCGTCGCGAACGCCGCACGCACTGTCCCGGTGCATACGCTCGTCCTGCTGCCCTCGTCACTGCGCTAACAAACTCGAACAGCGTGTCCGTTTTGCCTCGACCTCCTCTTCCGCCTCCGCCGCGTTCGAGGTGCGTATCCTGTGCTCTCTACTTCCTCGAGCCAACGCTCACACGACGTGTCAGTCGTTTGCGACGTCTCGCGCTGCTCTGGCATCCGCGACGGCCCTCACCGTTGGTTCTATCGCATGGTACGCTAACCTCTACGGAACCCTCCCCTTCATTGGCGAGGTACACGCCAACTCCCCCGCCGAGGAGGGTCTCCACCCCCCTCACTACCCCTGGTCGCACGCAGGCCTGCTCGACTCCTTCGACCACGCCAGGTAACGCCCCTCCGTCACGTCACCTCTCCCCCGCGTCTGATCCGTCCCGTCTGTGTCCGCGCCCTCCCATAGCATCCGGAGAGGATACCAGGTGTACCGCGAGGTGTGCGCCGCCTGCCACTCCCTCGACCGCATTGCCTGGCGCAATCTCGTCGGTGTCTCCCACACCGTCGACGAGGTCAAGGCGCTCGCCGAGGAGGTCGAGTACCAGGACGGCCCGGACGACAACGGCGAGATGTTCATGCGCCCCGGAAAGCTCTCCGACTACATGCCTCCGCCCTACCCCAATGAGGAGGCTGCGCGTGCCGGAAACGGCGGTGCGCTTCCTCCTGACCTGAGTCTCATCGTCAAGGCTCGTCACGGCGCTGCGGTATGTCACTTCTCATTTTCTACAAAGAAAGTGGCGCTAACACAAGACGCTGCATGCGCTTAGGACTACATCTTCGCACTTCTTACCGGTTACAGGGATCCCCCGGCTGGGTTCGAGATCCGTGAGGGCATGAACTACAATCCCTACTTCCCGGGTAACGCTATCTCCATGGCGCGTGTCCTGTTCGACGGCCTCGTGGAGTACGACGATGGTGAGCGCGCAAAACGACATCCTAACGAGTTCTATCTGACATGTTCTCCTCAGGCACCCCTGCCACCACCTCCCAGATGGCAAAGGACGTCGTAACGTTCCTGAACTGGGCCGCGGAGCCCGAGCACGACGAGCGCAAGAAGGCCGGTCTCAAGGCCGTCATCCTCTTCTCGGCGTTGACCGCGATCTCCCTGTACGTGAAGCGCTTCAAGTGGTCCGTGATTAAGTCGCGGAAGATTCGTGAGTACCTTTGACCCTGCCCTTTTCTGGTGTGCGTGACTGCTGACTGGCACTGCAGAGTACAACCCGCCCGCGAACAAGCCTTGAGACGCCTAGAATAGAGCACTTGAGGGCCTGCGTGGAGACCGTTGGGGTGTCCGTGTGCATAGTCGAGAGCATAATCGGACTGTTCGTTCCGCATACACACATACCAGGCTCGCGCCTCGGACCTCCCACGTCGTTCCTTCGTTCAGGAGGCTTCCGTTTATCCGTACCACAATAATGCGAACGTAATGGATCATCTTAAACTTCCGAAGCCGTGGACTCTCTTCGGTTTGACAATATTCTGACTTTGCGCGGACGAGGCGAATGAGCGGTGTGCGATTTGCGCAGGCGTATTTACGTCCGATAACTCCATAAAGGTGATCTAGCGCCCAAATATATCCAGATATTGGCGTGTAACCTCGTTCCGGCCGAGTCGAGAGCACTGACAAGGTGCGGCTTACGGACATCCTGCTCGTTATTCACAACGTCGACGACCTCTTCTCCAGGCTTGGCAACCTTACTGCTGCACACCTTGCATCTTTTCTTGATCTGACTTGCTGTAATGTCGTCCGAAAGCTGGCCACCGAAACTGAAGTATGCAGCTCAGCTTTGTGTGAACTACTGCATCGCTCATCACAATGCTCTCGCAGAGAATGGGTCGCACGATGCCTGGGACAGATGACCGACTCGAACAGGGCAGATGCGCAGGCTGAGTTAAAACAGGTGATAGCTGAATCTTACGGCAATAAGACGTTGTGGACGACCGACTGGGACGGGCTCCAGCTGAAGAGGTGCGTCTCCGCACGCCACGCCTCCATCTCGGTTCACAGCTGAGATTTCGTCTGGAGTCTGACGCCGAAGCCTACTCCGGTGGTCTCCTCGCACAGTAATCTTAAACGCAAGGCGTGAGTGCGCACCCTTGATCTCACAATACGCAAACCTCACCCCGAGCGTCCCACAGAAATGACAGCCAGCCGCCGAGCAGCAAGAAGACCAAGAAGAGCTCCGTCTCGAAACACTCTGCAGCGCACGCCCTCGACCCGGACGACGCCGCCGCGCTGAACCGCCGCGCGGCGCGTTTCCAGCGCGAGCATGACATCGAACGCCAGAAAAGTTCGCGCCCGTTCGGCACCCATCCCTCCTCCTCGCACTCTCCGTACACTAACCAGCAACTCTTCAACAAAACACGCTCCGGCACGCCGGCCGCATACGACGCGGACAACCCCGACGCGGATCCGGTGCGTCCCAGTCCTTCTCCCGCCCTTCCTGCGCCGCGCCCCCGCTATTGTCTAACCCTGCGCTGCGCCGAATAGAACGTGCCGAACTGGGACCGCTTCACCATCGTCGGAACATCGCAGGAAATATTCAAGGACTACCTGCGGCTCACCTCGGTACGCTCTCCACCCCCTCCTCCGCCTACGCGTCGGGCCGACGTCTAACCCTGCCGCTTCCCCCGCCCCGCTCGCAGGAACCCAAACCGGAGCAGATCCGGCCGTACCACGTCCTGCAAGACACCCTGACCCAGCTCAAGAAGCGGTGGCGCGAGAAGGCGACGTACAATTGGATCTGCTCGCAATTCAAGAGCTTACGGCAGGACCTCACCGTGCGCCGCGCCCCCGCCTTCTCCCGCCGGCCGCGTTGACAGCGCGTTCGCACCCTATTGTCTTTTGTCCCCCACAGGTGCAGCGCATCAAGAACGAGTTCACCGTCACCGTGTACGAGATCCACGCGCGCATGGCGCTCGAAGTGGTATGTGCGCCCCCTCCCGACGTGCCCGGCGCCCAGGGTGCCGAGGGGCCCCCTTTGTTTGTGCTGGCGCCGACGCTGACGGACGTTGTGTGCGCGCAGGGCGACATGGTCGAGTATAACCAGTGCCAGGCGATGCTCCGGAACCTCTACGAGCTCGGCATCCCCGGCAAAGTCGAGGAGTTCACCGCGTACCGAATACTGATGCTCCTGCATGGCCGCAACCGGAGTGGTACGCCCGCCCCATTCCCTGCCTTTGACATGTTCTGACGAAATGTCACTTCCATTCTTAAGACTTGAACTTGTACGTAGGTCAGCTAACAGATCGACAGAAAGCGGACCCCGCGGTGCGGCACGCGCTCAGCGTCCAGCGCGCGATCGCGATGGGCAACTACCACGCGCTCTTTGACTTATACATGGGCGCGCCGAACATGGGCGCGTACATCATGGACCACTTCATAGACAGGGAGCGCATCCGCGCGCTCATGGTCATGACAAAAGCGTGAGTACGCCCCCTCTCCCCTCCCGCCCTTGGCTCCCCTTCTCCCTTCCCGGAAGGCGGTCGGGGAGGCAAGTGGTCCCAGTTCTCTCACAGGCCCCGGGTGGGATGCGAACTGTGGTTTCGATGCAACGCTGACATGCACACACACATGCACGCCACCCGTCGGCCACACCCTCTGGTTCCCCGACTCCCCTCGCACCCCTGCCCGCGCTCGCCGACACGCAGGTACCGGACAGTGCCCCTTCCCTTCATCCAGAACGAGCTCGCCTTCGAGGGCGCCGCCGCCGCGCGCGAGTTCCTCGTCGAGCACCGCGTCGGCTTCTTCCAGAACCCAAACGCCAAGGACGAAGAGGCCGTCTTCGACTGCAAGCCCGCCAGCGCGCTGCTCGCGCAGATATACGAGGAGAAGTACCGGAAGGTGCAGATCAAGGGTGCGGTATAGCATTCACTCTCTGGGTCGCCTGTGTGGAGGAGGGTGCTGGGTGGCTGTCGGTATATATGTCGTCGCTGTGGGTCTTGGATGCTATGTTATATCGCGCTAGTCGGCTTGTACGCTACGAATTTATCTGTGAATATTCCCTCGCTGTCTACTTTGTTCGATCGGCTATATGTTGTGCCCAACATTCTATCATACAAAACCCTTCAAGCTGGAATACATACATCTATGCTGCAACAGTCTAGTCGCGCATGCGCGCAGGGATGAACCTCCTTAGCACCACGTCCCGTACAGTGTAGTGCGCCAGACACGCCGGCGACGACAGCAGTTCTGGCGATATTCGCGACCGTGCGGGGATGGTCACGTAGGTGAGTATCAATGTCTGCCAGAATTGCGTTAATTTATGTACGACGTGGTCAACCTTGTAGTGCACACCTTCTGGACTTGCGAGTTGACACGATTCACGGTGCTCAGCCATGTCCACGAAAATGTGTTTGCGTTGGGCAGGTTGAACGGAGAGGACTCCTGGTCTGCAGAGTTCTCGTAAACCGGGATCACGACCACCGCGAACCTGCAGAACCACCGTCAGCCGTTACTCCTCCAAAACGATAGTGTGCACATACTCGGCATGGTGGAAGACGGGCCCCCGTTTATACAGCAAATAATCTACGCAGAACTTGATGCCGCCCTTGACGATCCAGCCTAGCGCGCGGTAGTAATGGTACGCAGCGTAGTTCACGAGGAAGGGGTTGTCGAACCGGTCGGCATACACGGGCAGTTCGCGCGGTATGCAATGCACGTCCTGGACGGCGCGCCAGATCTGTTTCAAGCTCAGCGGCTCGTGCTAAATGGGCGAGTCATTGTCAATTTGGCTAGGACTGGGGGTAAGACGGTGCCGTACCGTTTGCGAGTCGAGCACTGTTAGGCAGTCGAGGTTCCAGACGAGGAACCATGTTTCTTGTAGTGTAAGCTGGAGATGCTCGACGTTCTCGAGAGGTTCCTCTTCCTCGTCCAGTTCGGCGTCATCTTCCTCTTCTACAGGCGGTTCGGGCAGTGACGGTGCTTCTGACGCCGCCGAGGGTTTCCAGGTCGCGCCAGAGGGAATAAGGGCTGGCGCAGCCTCGCGACCCTCCGCGAAGGCAGCCTCGGCCTCTGCGGCCGCGCGCGCGATTGCAGCGGCGCGATCGAGCTTGAACTGTCTGCGCTCTGCTCTGCGCTTTTCGCGGACCTCTTCTGAGGTCATATCTATGCCCATACATGAGCGAATATCGCGCGCGCGCATGGCAGATGGTCTGCGTACATTTCCCTGCGGCTTTCCTCGTGTTGAGCTGGCGCGCGAGCCAGGACGGCTCACTCCGGGAGAGGTCGCCTTTGCCGAAGAAGCCCCTCCGCCAGAGGATAGTGGAGTCCTTCTCATTTGTGACCCAGACGGAGCGCGTCGCAGGATCAAAGACGCCTTCGCAATGCGGGTTCTCAAGGCGCGCAGTGGATAGTCCAAAAAGACCGAGGATGTGTCCGGGCGCAGGGGCGGGACAGACGAGCGGGAGTGGGTGCGCGTAGATGCGGTTGTTCTCGTTGCGGCGTGCGCCCGATTTTTGGCCGCCGCCTTTGCGAGATGATGGGCCGATGAGAGACATAGGAATATAGCGGTGGTCGTTGAAGACGTCGGGGAGCGGGAGATGGGCGTGAGGGACGGAGGAGCGCGCTTCAGTGTGACTTTGGCGGAGACGCGACTCGCGACAGACGCGCTTCCCTCCCTCCCCTCACCCGCTGCGGCTCATCTCACCTCTGCTCACTCTACTCACTACGAAATCTTGACGAAATCCACGACTATTGCACATGTCTGAGAAACGGAGAGCAGAGATCGAGGCCAAGCGGGCCAAACTCGCAGAGCTCCGCAAGGCGCGTGCAGACCGCCAGAAGGCAGACCAGGACCGGCGCACGTCCGATGTACGCTCACTCCCCTCATCGTTCTCCCACACGAGCTTACATATATCTCAAACTACATAGAGTGGAGGACCCTCTGTTGCACGTAGAGACGTTGACGACCTCGTCTCCTCCCTCATTGGCATCGGCGGCCGCGGCGGGGACAGCGCCCTCGATTCCCCAGTGTCCTCCGTCCCCGGTACCCCTGCATTAGGTCATGTCAATCTCCCGGGGCCGTCTGCGCTCTCCCTCTCCGGAAGGTTAAGCAGAACAAGCGATGTCACGTCGGATACGCGCCTTAGCCTCGGCACGACGCTCATACAGTCGCAGAATGGGGCAACGGAGAACCTCATGGAGCGGTGCGTTTGCGCATCGTGCTAGTATTATGAATATGTGTTGAACCCTTCTTTCAGAGAGATGACGCCTCGCATCGTACCGGACCTCATCGACATCGAGCAGGAACTGTTTGAGTTGCCACAGAAGGTGCGCGCAGCAGCATTATGTCGTCTTGCAAGGTAGCTCATCTGGACGCGTCCATAGGAGCGCGTAGTGTACAACAAGGAGATCCAAACGATGGAAGTCGAGGTAGACGAGGATGCTGTAAACGAGGAAGAGCTCCGGGAACGCATCATGCGCGAGCGCGACGCGGTGGAGGCGGAGCGGATAGCGCACGAGCAGGAACTCGAGGCGGAGAGCAAACAACTCGACGAGGAGATCGCGCAGGAAATCCGCGGTACGCGCCCCCTCCCGTCTGACTTTACGCGTATGTGGCGCAAGTACTGACCACCGTATAGAAATGACGGAGGACGAGAAGTCAAGCATCTTCGCCGTGCCGGAGTTCCTAGACTTCGTCGAGCAGTCGACGAAGATCATCCAGCGAGCACTTAATGACAACTACGACTATATCCGGGACTATACGGTCGGCGCGGAGAGCGGACCGTGCGTACAATACTGTCCTGCCGAATTACGTCTTAGCGCTGACGAGTCTCCTAGTGAAGCTTCGGAAGGTCGTATCAAGGCGATCTGCGCGTTTTACGATGAGCGGCATACGAAGAACCGGTCAATAACAGACATCGACTGGTCACCGAAGGTGGGTGCTTTCCTTTTGTCTTGGTCGCGCCCTAATAACCCAAAGGTAGTACCCCGAACTCAGTTGTGCATCGTATAACAAGAACCCAGCCGCTATCAACGAACCGGACGGCATTGTGGCAGTATGGAACCTGCATCTTCTTGAACGGCCAGAATTCGTATTCCATTCACAGGTAAGTGGTGAATGTGGTAGGTTTTCCACTTGCACAAGATACTGACATGCTGCAGTCTGATGTGCTCTCGGTGTCATTCTCACCATTCCATTCGAATCTCGTCTTCGGTGGAACATACTCAGGCCAGATTCTGCTTTGGGACACGCGGTCGAAGCATCTGCCGGTGCTAAAGACGCCGCTGTCCGCCGCAGGGCATACGCACCCCGTCTACGCGATGCAGATGGTCGGAACCCAGAACGCGCACAACTTGATCACGAGTAGCACAGACGGTACAGTGTGCAGCTGGCTCGTCGACATGCTCGCGCAACCACAGGTATGTGGCGTGGCGCCCTTCCATTAGCACGATACTGACCGCCTGAAAGGAAACACTGGAGCTCATGCACTCGGGGCACAGCAAGACGGGTGAGGTCGCGATCACCGCCCTCAACTTCCCCGACAACGAGACGACGACGTTCTGGGTGGGCACGGAAGAGGGGAACATCTACCAGGCGAACCGGTACGACCGCGCGGGCGCGAAGGCGGGCCTGAACTCGTACGACGTGTACAAGGGCCACGCGGGGCCGGTCATGGGCGTGCACTTCCATCCGCTGGTCGGACCGGTGGACTTCTCGGACCTGTTCCTGTCGTGCTCGGTGGACTGGACGGTGAAGCTGTGGCGATCGCGCTCGCTTGCGAAGCCATCGACGGTGCTGACGCACGTGCCACCGCTGTACTCGTTTGACGAGGCGGATGACTATGTGTACGACGTGAAGTGGCACCCCACGCACCCAGCGCTGTTTGGGACGGTCGATGGGGCGGGCAAATTTGACGTCTGGAACCTAAACCACGACACAGAGGTCCGTAACTTCCTTCACGCTCATTGAAGCGTACGTTGACATGATCCTACAGGTGCCGGTGGTGTCGACGACGGTGGGCTCCGGACGCGCGCTGAACAAGCTGCGGTGGGACCGCAAGGACGGGCGACGGGCAGCCGTAGGCGGAAGCGACGGGCGACTGTACATCTACGACGTCGGAGACATGGCGCTCCCGCGGGAGACGGAGTGGACGGAGATGCAGCGCACGGTGGGCAACATGGCGAGCGGCGGCGCGCACGCGAACGGCATCGGCGACGACTCCGCGCGCATCGTTGCGGGCCGCTAGGATTCTGCTCGAGTTCTGTACATACCACGGTTAGGACGCATGACTAGAGCTGTATACCCCCTCCTTCTCCCGCCCCAAGGCGGAAGCGGTCGTCCTTGAGTGCGAATATAGCGTGCGAGTGATCCGCTGCCCCGCGCGGGAGTCCCGCCGGGCGGGTCTCCGTGTAGCCTGCGCCGCGTACTCAGGCGGCAAGTGTGGGCTGCAGCTCTGGCGAAGATATTTCTGTGCGGCATCTCTCCCTCCCCGAATTAATATTCGCAGCCCCGCCGGTGCACGCTTGCGGCGATAACGACACACGCCCACACCGTTTTCTGTGCCCATACGGCGTCAGGTGACGGATCAAATGCTCTCCCGTCGCGCTTTCGCCGTCCTCTCCTCCCCCACTCGGCTTGCTCTTTCCCCTCACTCTGCTCGCATCCTCACACTCGCACAATCAGCCAAGATGTCTACGTTCAAGCAGGTATGTGTTCGCTACAGACAATACGTCCGCGCGCGGCTCATCAGTGTGTAGGAACCACACAAGTAGGTGTTCAGCAGATGCCGATGCCGCGATATCCCATCTCACCTTGCATGCTTCGCGGTGCCTTTCAAGACTTCTTGTGTAAGTTCTCTACACCTCACAAGATGCTTGAGCCATCGCTGAAAGTCCTTGCAGCATCCCCGGGCCCATCGAAGTTACCGATGAAGTGCTCTACGCGAACGCGCACCCGTCCATGTCCCACGTCTCCCCCGACTTCATCCCCGTCTTCGGCGACTGCCTACGCATGACGCGCCAGGTCCTCTACACCACCACCGCCCAGCCCTTCCTCATCTCCGGCTCAGGCACCCTCGGCTGGGACCAGGTGCGTCCTCTCTCCCTACCACTTCCCCTCCAAGGCTCGCGAATCAAGCGGATCGCGCTCCCTCTAGGTCTCGGCCAACCTCGTCGAGCCCGGCGAGAACGTCCTGGTGCTGAACAGCGGCTACTTCGGAGATAGCTTCACGGACTGGTGAGTACCCATCGATCTCCGTGTGTGCGGAGTGGGCCCGTAACGGAACGCGCGCTTGGGGTAGCTTGCAGACGTACGGCGCGACAGTAGACCAACTCCATGCGCCCTTCGGCGCAGCCGTAGACCTCAAGACGCTCGAGGTCGCGCTCCACAGCAAGTCGTACAAGCTCGTCGCGTTCACGCACGTCGATACCTCCACTGGTGCGTACCCACGCCCGCCGGCGTCCCCTGCTTGACTAACGCGCGCTCTCCAGGCGTACTTTCCGACGCAAAGGGCATCGCAGAAGTCGTCAAGCGAGTCTCCCCAGACACACTAGTATGACACCGTCTTACAAATGCTCACGCGCCTGCGCTTACGATACTACAGACTGTGCTAGATGGTGTGTGCTCGGTCGCGAGCGAAGAGATCCAGATGGACGCGTGGGGGATCGATGTTGTCCTTACCGCGAGCCAAAAGGGCCTCGGGACGCCACCTGGGCTCAGTATCCTCGTCGCGAGCCAGAAGGCCATCAAGGTCCGTCTCGCGCGCCTTCACATATCCGGACGAACGCTGACCGCGCGCAGGTCTTCGAGACGCGTAAGAGCCCCGTGACCTCGTACTACGCGAGCTGGAAGAAGTGCGTCTTCACGCCCACCACACCCGCGATATAATAATATACTAATTCGCGCGCAGGTGGCTCCCAATTATGCGCGCATACGAGGCCGGGTCCGCCGCGTACTTCGCGACGCCGCCCGTGAACCTCATCTACGCATACAACGCGTCGCTCACTGCGATCACGCAGAAATCGCCCTCGCTCGCGGACCGCTTCCGCCTGCACAAGGATGCGTCCGCGCGCATAAAGAGCGAGGCCGAGGCGCTCGGGTTCCGGCAGCTCGCGGTCGACCCTACGCTCGCTGCGAACGGCATGACCGCGCTGTACTTCCCCGACGGGCTCGTCGCGTCGGACCTGCTCCCGCGCCTCGCGAAGCGCGACATCGTCGTCGCGGGCGGGCTACACAAGGACTACAAGGGTGTGTGCTTCCGGTCTCACTGGTCTACTTAACGACAAGCTGTTGACCAGAGTATATTTGCCCTACACAGAGAAGTACTTCCGTATCGGGTACGTCCACCCTTCCCACTTTCGACTAGTGCAGCGGCTACAGAAGCTAACGCCCGGCCCGCGCACGCAGCCACATGGGCGTGTCCGTCGTCGACGCGCAGCGCGGAGACATCGACCGGGTCATCGCGGCGCTGAAGGAAAGCCTGGCGGAAGCAAAAGCCAGCAAGAACGTGTAAGAACCAGAGCAGCAGTGCCCCCTCCCCGTGTAATAGAATCGTATACCTTGAGCTCATCGCCCGCCCGTACGGTTGTCATGTGCTTCCCGACCTAAAACGAAAACGAAACGAAAACGAATACCGAACCTCTGCGTACGCCCGCGTGCTGTACCGTCGAAATCACGCTCGCACGCACGATCGACGCACGTAGATCTCCGAATGCGAGTGCAGAGGCAACGCGCACCGACCGCTCTACGCCCGCCGCGCGGTTGTGAGCGCATTCCGTCTGCGCACCCGCTCGCGGCAGCTTCTCGGAGCGACCAAAACATGTAAACGTGTTTCTGCATGTTCAGACTCCGTGAAGGTTGCTGACAGTGTTATCAGGCCACAGACGGCAGGGAATCGGAGTGGAACCGGGAGCACGAACGGACGGCGTTCCGACGGCTGCCCGCGAACATCACAGTGGGCCCATATCTCCCTATCTCATCTAACGGGCTTATCCTCATATTGAACCGATAGAAAACACAGACAAGAGGTTACGAGCGTTGGTTAGGTCTTTGGAGAAGTGCGTTGGATCTATTAGTGAATGTACATTGTACAGTGATGCATATATGCATGGCTCTAAGCTGCTACCCGTGATACTTGTGTTATGGAACGTGAACATCAACAAACTCCCGACAACCCCACCAGTGTCCCTCAGGCCTCATGCGGCCACCGCGATCTCGCGGTGCTGACCCTCGCCGCCCATGCGGTCGTACCACAGCTTGCCCTCCGTCGTCGGCGCGATGTAGCCCGCGCGGATGACGAAGTCGCCAAAGTGCTCGCCCTGGTGTCGCTCCCGCGCAAAGCGCTGGATCATCGGGCCGAGTATCGCGAGGATCTCCGGCTCCGTCACGGATTCTGCAATGCGGGGTGAGCGGGACGCCCCACGGAGTGAGTGACGGGAGAAGGGAGCGTACCTCGGTAGATCTTGTTCAACCGCTGGCCGTAGTAGCCGCCGCCCAGGAGCATGGCGTACGTGCCGGGGGCTTTGCCTACGAAGGCGATTTCTATCAAAAGAGGTAGGGTCAGAAATGGGTCTACTGGAAAGGCGGGGCACGTCGCGTACCTGCAAGATATGGCCGTGCACAACCATTCGGGCAGCCAGTCATGCGCATAACGATCGAGTCGTTGCGCAGACCGTTCTGTTCGCAGATCTTCTCGACCTTGTCAATGAGGATCGGCAAATACTAAACGGCAAATCGCCAGTCAGCGCCAACCCACCAAACACAAACCAAAACAATGCACGCACCCGTTCCGACTCCGCCATCGCAAGCCCACACGTCGGGAACGCGACACACGCCGACGACGACAGCCTCAAGCCCGACTGCGACACATTATCGAGCTTATACTGCGCCAGTATCCGCTTGATCGTGGGCAAGTCCTCCGTCGCGACGTCCGCAACAATCAGGTGCTGGTTCGCGGTCAGGCGGAACGTGCCCTTGTGCACCTTCGCGATCTCCTGCAGGCCCGTCTTGAAGTCGCGCCCGGGCTCGTCCTGGATGCGCCCGTTCTCGATGAACGCCGTGAAGTGGTGCCGGCCGTCCTCGCCCGTGGTCCACCCGAAGTCGTCGATGTTCTTGTCGAACGAGAACGGCCGTGCGGGCGGGAGCTGGTACCCGAGCAGCTGCTCGACTGCCGCCTTGAAGTTGTCGAGACCCATGCGGTCGATCGTGTATTTCAGACGCGCGTTCTTGCGGCTGTGGGCGCACGTTTAATCAATATTCCAACACACTGTACGAACGGAGGCTACTCACTCAGCACGGTTGCCGTTGTCCCTCTGGACAAGCATGATCTTCTCCGCAACCTCAACACCCTGCGCAACAGTACAGAAGCCAAGCACGCTACCCGCTCTCGGGTACGTCTTCTTGTTCGCGTGGGTAACACCCATACCACCACCCGCAGTGACGTTGAACCCAGCGAGCTCGCCGTTCTTGTCCACGACAGCGATGAAGCCGACGTCGTTCGCGAACACGTCCACGTCGTTGTTCGGCGGGATCGCGACCGCGACCTTGAACTTGCGGGGCAGGTAGAACTCGCCGTAGAGCGGCTCGACGTCCTTCAGCGCGTCGCCCGCCACGAGCTTCTTGTCCAGCCAGATCTCGTGGTACGCGGACGTGCGGGGGAGCAGGTGCTCGCTGACCTTTGTCGCGAACTCGAACGCCTGGCGATGCAGCTTGGACAGCGAAGGGACGGTCGAAACGATAACATTCCTAATCGCTTGTGAGCATCAAGCAAAAAGTGTGATCTCTGGACGACATACCGGTTGACATCACCGCACGCCGCGAGCGTATCGAGCAGAGCACGGTTGATATCCTGGATCGCCGACTTGAGGTGCCGCTTGATAACCCCATGGAACTGGAACGTCTGGCGCGTCGTGACCTTGAACGTCCCATTCCCATGCTCGTCCGAGATCTGGTCCAGCAACAGCCACTGCTCCGGCGTACACACCCCTCCCGGCATCCTCACGCGGATCATGAAGCTATACGCCGGCTCAACGCCCTGCGCCTGCCGCTCGTCCCTAATATCCCGATCGTCCTGCTGGTAGATCCCATGGAACTTCGTGAGCTGCGTGTCGCTCGGCGCGAGCGCGCCCGTGCTCTCGTCCGCCAGCCCCTCCGCAATCGTGCCCCGTAAATACTGCGACGCGACCTTGATGTGCTCGTTCGTGATCGGCTCCGGCTCCTTCTCCGTCACCTCCACCGCGTCCACCCCCAACGCCTTCCACAACAGCGGCTCCCACGCCTTGTACCCCGTCTCGGGCCCGTCCGCGTCCTGGTCGTCCCCCAGCCCGAGCGGCACGAAGCGCTCCGCGCCGAGCTGCGCCAGGCGCGCGTCGAGGTCCTTGCCCGCCTTGTTGTAGTAGTGCGCGTCCTCCGCGCGCGGCCAGTAGTGCGAGTCCCCAAGACCGAAAACAGAGAAGCGCACGGTGTTGAGCACCCTGTCGCCCTTCGCGGCGGCGCCGTTGAGCGCCTTCGCGAGCGTGCGGCTGTTCTGCGGGAACTCGCCCTGGCCGGCGACGGAGGTGACGAAGACAACAACCTCCTCCCTCGCGAGGTCCTCGACTGAGATCGAGTCCATAGTCGCGACAGTCGTGGACAAGCCACGCATCTTACCGCGCGTCGCGAGCCTCTTCGCGACCTTCTCCGCCCTCCCGCCGTCCGAGCCATACAAGACCGTAAGCGGGGGCGCGTCGATCGTCTGGAGCAAATCCAGGTACGTCTGCTGCGCGCGCATCTTCCTTGCCTGCTTCAAGTTCTCGCCCAGACTGCCCACCAGCTCCGCCGCGACCTCCGGCGCGGAGCGCGTGAGCTGCGAGAGGTGGTTCTGGCGGTCGAGGAACGCCTGCAGCTCGTTCTTCACAAAGTCCGAGTCGAGCGAGAACGGCTCCTTGCCCTCGCGCTCCTTCGCGGGGTTCCAGCGGTACAGCGGCCAGTAGCCGGAGTCAACCGCGAGCTTCGTCTCCTTCAGGATCTCGAGCGCGGGCGTCTGCTCCGTGCTGTACGGCAGGTACGCGAGCACGACGCTCGGGCCGTTGTAGCGGTCCGCCTCCATGATCGCCTGGAGCACCTGCGCGTACGAGGAGTACACCGCCGTGCTCGCGACGAAGACGTCGCCGTGGTTCATCGCATACAGCCCGACGTCCTGCTTCCTCCGGTGGGGGTCGACAGAGTTGCGGGTGCTGTAGGGGGTCGTGTCAAGGATAAGGACGTTCACGTTCAGCCTGGACGCGATCGCGTGGTGCAGACCGGACGCGCCGAGATCGTACGCCCACGCGTCCGAACCGATGATCCACCGCGAGCGCGCCGGGAGGAGGCGACGGAGGATGAGGATCTTCTGCGCCGCTGGGCTCGAAGATTTCTCGGCCTCGAGTGCGGTTGAGAGCTCCTCACCGATCTGCTTGCTCTTGACGCCGTCATCCTTCGCACCGAGCCACCGGCTGAGCAGCGAGTGGATCTCGATAGAGACGTTCGGGTCCCGGAGAAGCTCACGCACGGCGGCGACCAGCTCTTCCCGCTCCTCAAGTTCACCGCGCGCACGACCGAGAGCGAACTCGGGGGTAGTCGCGACTTCACCTTGGGATGCGATGAGCTCGGGAGAGTTGAGGACATCCAGACGTCCGGTGAAGAGGTTGGCGAGGATTTTGGTGTAAGCAGCTTCGTGCTTGGGAACGTGTGGCGCAGGCGCAGACGCCTGGGCGGAGGGAGCGGGGCCGAGTGCCAGACGCGCAGAGCCTGCAGTAGTAGCATGCTCGATGAGAGCAGAGACGTCCGACTCAATGATTGCGCTCGCATCACCGAGAATGCCAGACTGAACGACCGGCGTGGGGTCGAGCTCTGACTGCTGGATGGCGCTGACAACCTCGAGGTATAAAGGCGTCCATTTCATCGACCAGTGGTGAAGCTGCTCGAGAACGATGACGCGCGTGACCGAGGGAGAGACCGCGCCGAGGATAGTGGACGGCGGCAGAGGCTTGAGCAGCGCGACGTCGACGAATGAGACGCCTTCGATTTCATAGTCCAGGGCCGCCTGTCCGAGCGTGAAAAGCACGGTATGGGGCTCGGAGGTGCCGTGCTGGATGAGCGGCCGGAGCGCGCGGCGGACGAGGGCCACGGTCGCAAACGCGGCGGACTGGTAGATCTTCAGGAGCGCAGCGGAGTCGGTGGTCGACTTCTGGTCGCTGCCGCGGGGGGACTGCCTCTCGGCGAAGAGGAAGGGCGCAATGCGGTCCGCTTCGACCTCTTCGACGGCCTCGCTCTCGTCTCCGACATGGAAGATATGGAGCACCGCCGTAGACTCGACGAATGCTAGTCTTGAGGCCAGAAGTGCATGGTCGTGGGCCTGCTGAGCCGTGCGAGAGTAGAGCACGAAGGGGAGCGAGGACTGGAGCACGAGCGCGTCGGACAGGTCGGAGGTCACGGCGACATGGAAGACGGTCGAGGTGGAAGAGAGCTCGGGCAGGTGCAGGAGGAGGTGGTTGAGGACCTGCGGGTGAGCAAGCGCAGTGTATGAGAGGAGGCGCGCGGAGCGATGCCTGAGGAGGGTGTCGCCCGCGTCTGCGCCGAAGGGAAGATTTGTGACAGAGGCCCTGCTGTCTGGCGAGCTTGCGAGTTTGGTGAGGGCGGCCTGGAAGGGCGAGGGCGCTGCAGGGGAGAGGGAGTTCACGACGAAATCGGAGGCCAGATAGGCGATACGCGAAACCGCCGAGACAGAAGGTGATGCGGACATGACGGGGCTAAGGCAAGCGAATGGACGGGCGGGCATTGGTCAGAACACCTCAAATTCGCAGAGGCGGAAGAGACGCACGGGGCTTGCTCGCTGTGCAGAGCACGCTGGACGCTGCGGGGGACGGTGAGGGCGCGAGGGAGGTGGCTGGGGACAAAATATATTGGCCAGGATTCGCTGGGTGATATGCAGCTGTGAATTCCGAATTGCAGCAGCCGCTGTGTTCTTCCTCCCGGGCTGAGTGAGCTCGTCGTCTTTTCTCCCGAGCACACCACCGACGCGCGATCCCTTTGGCCGTGTTTGGCCTTGGCCTGCATTCGTGCCCCTAGCGCCGGGTTAGGAGCTCCCACGCGGAGTCTGAACCTTATCACTGCAACTGCCTAGCTGCCCGTCCGGTGTACCGACCGCCGCGCGCCTGCCCAGTCTGCAGCATCAAGACACCCGACGCCCGACACCCTCGTCCCCGACAACCGCGATGGCCCCCACCAAGAAGTCCAAGGCAGCAAAGTCCTCCGAGTCCATCGCGTCTCGCCTGGCCCTCGTCGTCAAGTCGGGCAAGTACTCCCTCGGCTACAAGTCTGCCCTCAAGCAGATGCGCAACGGCAAAGGTTCGTCCTCTTCGCTGACTTCTCTCTCCGGGGACTGGAGCGTGAGGCTGAGAAGGTCCCTTGGCTAACCATCTCCCCCCTCTCCCCTCCCTCCCTCCCCTGCCGTTGCCTTGCTCCTGCATCGCATCGCTGCACACCTCACAGCCAAGCTTGTGCTTATTGCCGGCAACTGCCCCCCTCTCCGCAAGTCCGAGCTTGAGTACTACGCCATGCTCTCCAAGACGTCCGTGCACCACTTCGCGGGCACCAACGTCGCGCTCGGAACCGCTGCCGGCAAGCTCTTCCGTGTCGGGTACGCTTCGTTCATTGATCGTCTTTTTAGCCACAAATTGATCTGAAAATTGCCAGTGTCATGACCGTCAGCGACCCTGGTGACAGCGACCTCCTCACCGTCGCGGAGGCTGCCGCCCAGTAAAAATATCATACCGCACACCATCATGTATTGGATCTCGCTCGGGCACCCATCCCGCCAGGCGTTGTATGATTTATGAGCTTGCCATGACCAACTCAGACATGTGTGAACATGTGTGATCTTCCGCTATGCCGATCTTGCGTGCCGATAGGTGGACAGACCCCAGACCTCGTATGTTAGCTTGACCACAAGATCGATGTGGGAATTCGAGCATCCGTAACTTATAAAATACAAACAATACATTCACAACAACGATGGAGACTGTCCCAGTACAGTACGCGGCCCGCGGTTCACGTAGTCCGCTTTCGACACGAAGCTCTTTCCTCCCGAGTCATTGAACGACAGCTGCAAGGCGCAAACCGTGAGCACAACACCTCGCGTGATACATCCATGAGAATGCTCTCACCTTCGCCACGATGCTCGTCCCGAGGAAGCCCGCCAGCCCGTCGCCCTTGTCCCGATACTCGGCGAAGTAGTCAGGCACTCGCAGCGTCTTCACCCCCCGCGGCTGCACCTCGTTGTTCAGCACATCCGGCGCGCTCAGAATGTACGGCGAGACCCGGGCGGAGAGCGCGAGCCCGAGACCTGCAATCCGTCAACGTCTGCATATGTCGCCCAAATGACGCGAGGAGCGACATACCCTTTATGTGGTTCGTGATCGCCCCGGTCACGAACAGGCCCTGCCAGATGTAGTTGCGCTGGTCCACATCCGTCTTGTTCACCGCCTCGCCCACCGCGTTCTGCAGCGGCCTCAGCAGATCCCTCGGCTCCTTCCCCAGCACGCCCGGCACGCCCTCCAACAAGCCGGGATCAAACAGCGGCTCGCAGAACCGATGGCGCTCCTTCCCAATCGTCACCTCCTTCCCCCCAAACTCGATCGTCACCAAGTCGAGCGCCTCCATCTCCTTCGCGCGCGCCTGCTCCGCGGGCAGCGCCTTCGCGTTCTGCTTGCGCTTCATCCCGCTCTCGATCACCGCGCGCTCCTTGCCCGCGACGACGATCGCCGCGATGTCCGTCACGCCCTCGTCCTCGAGGTCGCGCGCGGCCTCGCCCTCCGCGAGCACCCTTACCAGGCCCCCCGCCCACACCTGCCGCGCGAGCGCGAGCAGCGCCGCCTGCAGCTGCTCCGGCGCCAGCGGCGCGTCCGCTGGCGACAGCGCGGACGTCACGCTCGTGTTCGCGCGCAGCAGGTGCGCGAGGTACGCGACGCAGTCGTTCAGGCCCACGGGCACCGAGGTGCGCGCGACGTGCACGGGGAACCCGTCTGCGATCGGGGTGACGTCGCTGTGGTCGAGGTCGATGTCGACGACGACCCCAGAGAGCTGCATGCCGGAGATGACGGCGAAGTGCTGTGCCATGGGGCGGTCGAGGATGGCGAAGCCGGCGACGTTGAAGCGCTCGAAGAAGATCTGGCATATGCGCTCGTACGCGTCGCGCGGGAGGCCCGTGACGATGGAGAGCATGACGGGGGACTCCATCTGTGCGCGGCGGAGGCCGAGCTGGTAGAAGAGGATGTGTTTCCTGTGGTCCGGCACTGTGGCATGAGTGCTGAGAATAGGGGATATGGGATGAGCACCCACCATAGTGCCTCTGCCTGCGTGAAGTCGCTAATTTGTCCATCTGCAAACGGCCAGTAGATGGCGATATCTTGGCCGGCAGCAAGGGCTTCGTCCAATTGAGTGCCGACGAGGTAGTCGGTCACTTTCGATGAAGTAGGAGCTTTTGAGGTCGAGGGACCTGCTGAACGTTGGTATAGTCATATCTCTCTAGTCTCCAAGACAGAACATACCATCGTCCCCATTTTGTGTTGCGCCGTTGCGTCTGAGGCCGACCCGCGCCGGGATGTCCTATGTTGAACTGTTTGAGAGACTCAGGCAGCCAAGACATGCGAGGACGTACGACGGTAGGGAGACGGAGGAGGTCGTGGAGGCCAATGCCAGCTCGTATCGACGTCCGGCTCGTCTCGATGATAACGACGGTCGAGTCGCGGAAGGTAGCGTTGCTCATGTCGAGGCTGAGGGAGGTGGAGGAGACAAGCGAAGGCTCGCGCGTCTCCGCGATCACGCTCGACGCGTCGCGCCGTCAACAAACGCTAAACAGACGCCCGAATCCTCCGCATCTCATCCAGCAGAAAACTCGTGCATTTCAGAGCAAAGAACGACAGCAAAAGCAACAGAACCATTATGCGAATATACCGGCCTCCGCCCCAAAACCCTCCGCGCCCCTACAGCGACCGCGCCGCCGCCTTTTTCGACGCAGGGCCCGCCCCCGCCGCCCCGGGCACCGCCGCCGACCGCCCCTCCGCCGCCGCCTTCACCTCCGGCCACACCCCGCTCCCATCAATGATCCCCGCCTTCTCCAGCTCCCCGAACCGCACCGCGAACGTCGAGTACCCGATGCTCTGCGGCGGGTTCACCGCCGCCCGCTCCGGCGCTCCCCCGCACATATATGGCCGCGACTGCTGCAGCGCCGGCTCGCTCCGCCTGTGCCGCACAGTGAGCAGCCCCGGCGCCAGCGCCTCGCGCGCATCGAACGGCGCCAGATCCGGGAACGGGCCCACGGGTGCATCTTCCTCATCCTCCTCTGGGCTCGTCTGCACGTGCATGCGCTTCCACCGCCTTGCCACCTGCGAGCTGGTGGGTGCTCTCCACTGCTGGGGCTGCCTGATGTGCACAATGGGAGGGGTGAATATGTACGCTGGGATGGGGCTGTCTGGGAGAGGTATAGGGTTTGTGGGAAGGTGAGGGTGAGGCTTCCGGAGTGGCCTGAGTGCTGGGGAGTACTCTGCAACCCTCTGGTCAAGCCAGTCTCTGTGGACACCCTGGAGATGCTCAGGGAGCCCTTGTGCATTGCGACCAAATGTCAGAGGGCAGTCTGGGTGTTGGTGAGCAGGCGCATATGTCAGTAATGTGGTGTGCACACATACCTTGCAGGGGACAAGGGAGGAGCACCCTTGAGAGATGGCTGAGGTCAATGTGTTGCTCAATGCTCTCCAGGCTGTCATGGAGGCGTCCAGAGCACTTTGGAAGTGGGCACTCAAGGAGACCAGGCTACATGCACTATTAGCTTCATCGCCAACATGACCCAAAGTCTGCCTTACCAGTGCTGATGTTGCAGGGTCCAGCCCCTCACAATGCCGGTGGAGATGCTGGTGAGCATAGGAAATGGTGATTAGCAAACAGTGTCAAAATGCGAACAGCATAGCGAGCAAAACAAAGAGCATATGCTACACAAAAATGCGAAATTGAAGATGAGGTGGCAGCAACCGCGTAAGGCTTGCCCATAGTCAGAAAGACATAGTTTATCCATGCTGATGGCCCACATAAGCTCTCCTATCTCAGAAGGACAGGCAAGGAGGCCGAGAAAGAAAGACAGCTGTCCAAACTTCGCATTTTTGCCACTCGCATAAGCGCAAAAGTGCGAAGCAAAGACGGGATTCTCACCCCCTACACACCCCCAAACCACAACAGAACAAGATGCCCATACCTCCTGCAGAGTCTTCCAGCTGTTCAGCTCCGTCCCACAGTGCTCCCAGTCACAGATGAGGGGGGAGGAGTGAACAACCTCTTTTGCGACATCGATGATGCGCTCCACACTGAGCACAATCCCTGAGGAGCCCTCAAGTGCAAGGTCAGAGAATGGCAAGGACCCCATGCGTAGCAGGCACTCTGGAGCTGGGTGAGTGGGTGGAGGAGGGCAGGGGCTGTGGGAAGGAGGTGTGGTTGTTTGTAAGAAGTTAGGGTTGGAGCAGCGGCACCGGTGGCACGGCAGAAGCCCGCTCCATATTTAGATGGTTCACAATTACATTAAACGCGTTTTGTAGCCTTTGTTACGATTCTGAGTGCGAATTACACAGCACCCGCATATTATGCAGCGTGCCGATTGGCTCGCGAGTGCTTCCGTTGAAGCGGCGCCGGAGCGATGCTGGTTTCAGCGGATGCGACCCTAGATTAGTTCTTGGATCGGCGCGGGCGATCCGGCGCGGATCATCCTTCTAAGAACGACAGGCGCCGAAGATGCGGTGGACGGCGAGGTTGCAAGCTTGCGAGGAAATGTCTTCGCGATGCGGTGAAAGATACAGATAAATACGGTAATTCCCGTGGACGTATGTCACGGACCGCGAAAAGTCCGCGAACATAAGTTGCACGGCGCGTCGGTCCACACGCGACTCCGAGGACTCTGCAATACCTTCGCACCGCGCGTTCGTGCAGCCTTCCGCGCTTATGCAATGCGCGCATAGCTCGCACATAAGCGGTCGTGTATGTCTTTCTGTAGAGTGATATTTGCATGAGAACTTAATGACGTGGACTCGGAGGAGCAGTGCGACGACAAAACGTTATCGAAGTTACCCCCGTGACGAAGTTTATGTCCTTCGCGTATGCATACACATTACCACTGGAAGGTGCGTGGGACGCACATAAATCGGCGCGCAAGGTCAAGCACGGCTTGAGCTCTGAATCAGGACGCGAACGAGGGCGTAACCGACGACGAGTTCTCGCCGCGGCCGATTGACGTCAAACGCATTGCGCGGGTACCCCGGTTATAAGTCTTCAGTATCATGATCTATTCCCTAGTAGTCCGTCTAGTACATCTTGAATTATCTGCGCCGCTTGCCCCAGCTGATCTAAACGGGATTCCACGTGAGTTTACGCACAAATACACAAGTGAAAAGTGGCAATAAATCACCAGTTTTTTCCACCTCAGAGCTTGAAGATCTCCTTCAGCTGCGCGACGGTATCCTCCGGGTTCTTCACCGTATGCCCAACCACACCCGGGTGCACAAACAGCTCGTAGTCGTTCCCGCCCTGCCCACCGCACTTGTCAGCATACTCCTCGCCCAAGCACCCACGCGCAAGAAAGAAAGCGGCGCACCTGGTACGTCTTGTCGCCGAAGAAGTGGATCTCGTCAAACGCCTCGTCCGCGACGTGGCGCAGGCAGAACGTCTTGTCCCAGCCGTTCGGGAAGATGTCGAACGAGATCTGGCCGCCTATCGAGAACGTGAGGCCGTAGTCCGCGAACTTCTCCTGCAGCACCTTCACGAATGCCGGGCGGATGCCGTGAATCTGCGCGCGGGGTCAACGAGGACACGGGTGCGGATAGCGGCGGCGCGGCGTACCTTGTCGTACGCCTGGAAGTCGAGACGCTCCTGGATGCTGGCGCGGTATCAGCGCGGGTGCGAAGTGCAAGACAGGCGACTTACGTAGCGTTACGGCCGATGGGCGTGACGTTGATCATGCCGTTCCGGAACTCGATGAACGTGCCGCTGTATCGACGCACGCGTTGAGCATTCTCACTGTGCACGAGGAATACAACACGCAGGCACGCACCGCTTGATGGGGATGTCGATGTCCGCGAGATAGTGCAGGATGAAGTTCACGAGGACCTTGTAGCGCTCCTCGCCGACGTACTTGATGAACGCCTCCGAGGGCAGCGGCTTGCCCAGCTTGAACGCGGTGAGGCCGTTTTCGCCGAATGTGTAGTCAAAGTAGTCAACAACTAATCGTGCGCACTCGTAAGCTTATACGGCAGGCATAACATGACACAGCGACGCACCAGTTTTGCCCGAGTTAGGGACCGCAAACTGCTCGGCGATCTTGACAAAGTCGGACCCGCCGACGATGCCCGTCACGACCTTCTTGCGCAGCGCTGCCACAGTATCAAGCACCTCCGGGGCGACTAGCTGCTCCGCATGAACGACAGCCTCCAACGCGAGGCGGTGCAGCAAGAGCAAGGCGTACCTGCCGCGCGAGCGTGAGCGTGCCGTCGACGTCGAAGAGGACGAGCTTCTTTTGCGGGCGGTCGGCGAACACGGAGGCCATTGTTGCAGCAGTTCTACGACGAGGTATCTGGGGGTGAGATAGCGGGGAGGACGGGGAGCGGGGCGAACGGGGAGGACGCGGTATAAGAGCGCGAGCAGGCGCGTCGGAAGATCAAGATCGGTCGCGTAGATCTATAGCAGTCACGTGCCGCAGTACTTGTCCACGAACGCGACCGCGGCCACGTCCTCCCGCCTGCGTCCATCCATGCAGTACGCGCTATGAGTACGTGTTGTGTACGTGTCTGACTGAACGGATGTGCGGACGATGCTGATCGGACGACTCCAACAGCCGGCGGTGCTGTATCCACCCTGCCATCCTACACACGTCCTCGACATGAGTCAACAGCCGATATTCAATCACAGCAGGCATTGTCCTCGCGTTTTCGGACTGGCATGGACTTTTATTAATTCAACCGCAACACTACCCATATGATAGTGGGCGCGCCGACGCGTTTATCTTGCCGATCTTTTGCAACATCGTAGGGGCTCTTCTCACGTCCATATCCAGCTACAACAGACCGGGCCCAACGGTGGCTTCACCGTCATCGCTGGTGCACACTAGCGCACCGAGGTCATGACGTGGGGGAGTCACTTGGACTACCAGTGGCTTCCCCTGTTGCTAGTGCCGCGGTGCTGGCCGGTTTCTGCTGGTATGCCTCCACATACAAGCGAAACGTACGCATGAAACCGCGCGCTAGCGTACTACTACACAGACTCGGGAGCGTCGACAGCGCAGTGCATGGCTGCAGCTGTGATCATCAGTATCACCGGAGGTACGTGGTAGCTTGAGCTTCCGATGCAGCCGTATACTGAGCCTACTCGGCTACTCAGAGCCTGTGCCCGTGCGCTTTGAGCAAAGGACACCTCTCCCCGGTCGTCGAATCGCGCTGTTGCCCGACACCGCGCCGCTCTGGTACACCGGATCTGAGCGCGGTAACATAACCTCATCCGTTCCCGGAAACTGTCCTACCATTCGCGCACTGAATAGAACATGCGCATCGCGCATGTCCCGATGTCCTGGAAGGGATGACGGCTGCATGCGAGGGGGATCGGGACGCTCGGACGTCGATATGCTCTTCCGACGGGGAAGCTATGCGACTCGGTGTGAGAATCGGGCTCCGCGTTGGATGGCAGAGATGCCGACTGTGAGCAGGTACATGTTGGAGGCAGAACGAGTGGTCATTTATTGCGGCTTCTGACATGCACGCGGCGGATCTCGCAATTTATACATACGCCAGATACGCTAATTTTCACATAGTGCTGTGGTGGAGACTCTGCGAAGTACGTCCGATTCCAAGAGATGTCGAAGCCACTCAATTACGCAGTGAGAACTCCGCCAGCTATCGGGCCTGGGAGCGACGCGCGCCCACAAAGTCTGGGACATACAACTTCCGTTAAAGCCGAGCCCTGGCCAGTACATCGGGAATACATATAGACTACACTCTTCTGATACACGTTTACCGTCCATAGAAGCCCATCCGCCTTCCTTTCCCCGAGTCACATCCCACTCAGTGGCACTCACGCATCGACAAGCGTCTTGGTATCGCTCTGATCGTCCGCTGGTTTATCCTCTGCGTTATCCTACCCCGCCGTGCCTGAGCATTTTGTCCTCTCGCGCAGCCACCGACGCCACCACGCACCTTGCCCCCGATCGCGGTCAGCTGCGCGAGCGCCCCCGTGCGCGCAAGGTACGCCGCGCCCGAGTCCGCCCAGACCTGGTAGTCCGTCACCTTCGCGTCCTGGTCAAAGTCGAGGATGTACACAAACGTCTCCTCCCACGCCTGGCCCGTCCCCGCCCCCTCCGCCCACGTGAACTTCGCGCTGCCCTTGACGGACACGCGCGACGCCTCCGCGTCGACGACGTAGGGCCCGAAGGACATGTCCTCGTACGTGAGGTGCTGCTGGAGCAGCTCGAAGTAGGCGGGGACGGAGGCGGGCCCGGCCCGGCCTGCGAAGGGGCGGCCGAGGAAGGGGGCGAGGACGGGAAGACCGTGCTCGAGTGCCGAAATCTGATGGGTCGACGAGAAGTGAGCGAGGAGGGTGCCGACGTCCGCCTTTGCGGCAAACGCAGCACAGAGAGCCTGTGCGGACTCGAGCAGTTGTTTGCGTGTTGGCTGGCGGGCGAAGGACATCGTTGCTGCAGTGGACGACGAGGAGAGAGCTGTAGGTGATCGACAGCGAGCACAGCCGCCCACCCAAAGACACGGGCGCCACAGGGCACGTGGCGCAACACGAGGCGGATCGAGATCCTGCTTTACGTACATTGCGGTTAATGAAATGGGCGCTTGTCTGAAGACTAAAGGAGGGGCGCTGCTCGCCGCCGTCCGCTCGCGCCCTCCGCCAATCCGCCCTCCTCTCCCTCTCCCCCTTCGCCCGCCTTTCTCGCCCCGTCTCCCTATTGTTCCCCCTTTCTGCAGCTCTAGAGCGCAGCGCAGGCAGACTTGATGTCGTCTGGATCCAACGGAGAGCCCAGCCGCCGGAGCAAGAGCACCGAGAGCAGCGATCTCTCCAGCTCCCACGAACAGGAACACACCCCGAGCTGGGAACCACGGTGCGTACTCCGTCCTGCCTGTGTATATCGTGCGCCGTGCTCAGTGTGTCCCCAGCACGCTCTGCGTCGCGCTCGAGTCTGCGTCGAGGCGAGCATCGCTGCAGGAGCGCCAGATCAAAGACCTGGAGGTAAGTCCGGCCGTCCGAGATCTTCCCCTCCCCATTCGGCTTCCCAGCAACCATCGCTCGCGCCCTGCCCGACGTCCTTCGCATGTCAGCGCACGCCCCGCCGCCGTTCTCAGTTGTCTGCACGACGCATCTCACGTCGAGTAGAATCACATGGATTGCCTGCGCAGTGCGCTGTGGAGATGCTCAGCTGTCAGGGCGATCTTCCTCCCTCGAGCTGCCCTTATCGAGCTCCCATTCAATCCAGTACAGCCTCCAAGCGCCCGCAGAATCATATGCACCTCTCCTCACTCGCGACCGTCCCCCATGCGGCGCGGAGCCCGTCGGAGCGCAGCTAACTCTCCCTCTCTCTTATAGAGCAAGCTCGCCCTTGATCTCAGCAACTCCCGCGCCATCGAGAACCTGCTCCAGGAGGTATTCACCAGCATCAACGTACGTGAATACAGCGCATCTATTCACCCTCTCGCTCACCCGTATTATCGCAGCAAACAAACGAGCGCGCCCGCTTCGCTTCGCATAACACCGTGCCCCATATAGAGCAGACCCTCGACGAGGATTTCGCCGTTTTGGAGGAACTGGAGGAGCAGCTTCCCGAGGTCGGCTCTCAGATACGTGATATCCGCAAGGTCTACGATCGTGGCAGAGTCAAGGTACGCGTCACCTCTGTATCTGTGGTCGGCTTGTCACATACTAACTGCTGCTCCCAGGCGTGCGAGCTCATGTCGTCCCTCGAATGGCTGAACACCCCGCTCTCTCAGAAGTTACGGACCATCATATTCACGCCCAACGCTCCCATCAGTAACAGGTGGAAGGTCGCCGTCGTAAGTCGAGACCCGCCGCCGCATACCCCGGACAGCTCCGCCTAACGCGCCACCTCTAGCGTTCCATCTTCGCCCTCGTCTTCTGCGCATGCCTGTGGATCGCTTGGATCACCCTCCGCGGAGCCATCCGCGCGCACCAAAAACGGCTCGTCTGGGGCGAACGCCTCATGAGTTGACCGACTCGTCCGCCGTCCGCCGTCTCTCCGCCGCCTCCTCGTCGCAGCTCCCTTCGCTCTGCTCGCAACACCCTATCGTCCGCTGTGCACGATCGCCGCTCGTTACCTCTCATTCTTCTCCCCCATGCACGTACATATCAGCATCCCTGCATCCCTCCCCATTTACCATTTCCCTTCCCCCCACCTTTCCACCCCCTCCCCCCCATCGCACGCCTCGCCTCCCTGCATCCTGCATCCCATTCTGCCCACGCACCGTGCTCCTCCATCATGGCTCTCGTACTGTACAACGGCTCCCTATAGTGCCCCCGCATTCCCTTTGTCTACGGCCCCGCCATCCCCATCCCATTTCCCTTCCTCTTTCGCTGTCTCTTCCTGATGGTTCCTGACTAGCCTTTCTCGTCTCGTCCCGGTCACGCATTCCCCCTCGGCTCGATACCATCGTGTAACATTATTGTTGTATATGAACATAGACTCCCTGCTTTCCCGTCTTCTCGGTATCAACCTCATCTGGTTTCTACGTCTCGCATCTCGCGTTTCCCTATCTGCTTCTCTCCCAGTACGTATACCGCGCCGCGCCCTATGGCCCCAGGGGCGCGCTCGAGGCCGCAGACCCGCGCAATACAATCGGGCCCGGGACATCGTACCACGCAAGCATTTCACTCCGCGACGATCGTGCACTATCGGGCGAGGCGGTGTGTGGGGTCATTTCAAACAACCGCCGCCGGGCGTGCGCTAGCGCTAGCACCGGCGTATCAGTACGTCGCGCCCGCGTCTGTACGGTTACTCATGCATGTCCCTCGAGAATGGCGGCCGTTTGGTGTTCACCGATGCACCGTAACGGCGCAAGACGTGGGTGTTCTCGTGCAACGGATATCCCGCTGAGGATGATACAGTACAACACAACGCTCCCGCCATGCAACAGGATACAGATACAGATACAGATATCGGGCGCCACGAACTCGACGCCCACCGCCCGTGCGCCCCTTGGCATACACTCAAATCGCAGCTGACCCTGCTCCAGCGGATCGCTCAGGTACGGGGCCGGGGTCTCTACGTCGCGTTCGCGTCTACACGGCTACTCACGCACGTCCCTCAGAAATCCTGCGGACGCGCAAGACGTGGATAGGCTTGTGCAACGGGTATTCTGCTGAAGATAGTACAATACAGTACGACGCAACGCTCTCGCCATTCAATAGGCCTAGGATACAATAACACATACTGGGCGCTGGCACGCACCCGATGCCCACCGCCCGCGCGTCCCTCTGCACATACACTCAAATTGCAGATGTCCCTGCTCCAGCGAATTGCTCAGGCCTCAGGTACAGGGCCGGGTTCTCGCGTCCACAGGCTCTGTACTCCCGGCGCTGGCGAACCTTCAAGTTTGCGGACACGTCTCCTCTCTCATCAGCACTCTCCCCCTGCTGACCCCGTTAGCGCATCACCGATACTAGGTGCCACGGACTCGACGCCCACCGCCCGCGCGTCCCTTGGCATACACTCAAATCGCAGTTGACCCTGCTCCAGCGGATCGCTCAGGTACGGGGCCGGGGTCCCTACGTCCCGCTCGCGTCTCCACGGCTACTCATAGGCGCACCTACCTGCATTGGTATTGCTTATTCACGTAGGCATTGACAATTCTCACAGAGCAGAGCAGAGAAGGAGCTCCGTGCTGCGTGGCGGTGGGAGAGAATACTCCGCGCGCCCTGTCCTCTATCTCCCGCTCTCCCCCCGATGCACTGCATACCCTGCGCGAAATTTGAACGGCGCGAGACGTGGATAGGCTTGTGCAACAGATGTTCTGCTGAAGACAATACAGTACAACGCAACACGTCCGTGTAGGAGAATCGAGCGCGCGAGAGCGAGCGCTATGAGCGGGCGGTCATATACCTACAGGAGTGGCGCGTAGCCAGGTAACCACAAGATACGATACGATAAATAGCTACTAGAGACCAAGACGAGCTGCGCTCGCTCGCCACCAGTACAATAAATATCAAATATTCACAGTCCGCTACTCAACAAGATACAGGTATTACACGTACTCGGCGCCACGAACTCGACTCGACGCCCACTGCCCGTGCGCCCTTCTACATACCCTCAAATCGCAGCTGACCCTGCCTCAGCGGATCGCCCAGGTACAGGGCCGGGTTCTCACGCTTACAGGCTTTGTGCTCCCGGCGCTGGTGGGCACGTCTCCTCTCTCATCACCATATGTCATGACACCGAAGAGGTTCGCTCGAGTAGGTGACTGGGTATAAGCCTGGTCTCGATTGAACGCTACCGACTGAGTTACAAGTCGAGGTCTTTATATATGTATTGAGGAGTTCGAACGAGCGGGGGGCAATCTATCCTAATAGATTGAGTTGGGCAAAGGGTGAAGGCAGATGACGAGCAGGGACGAGGGCGCAAGAGTAAGGACAGGAGGAGTGGGCGTAAGGCAAAGTTAGACAGGGCGAGAGTTTTCAACGGTAAGGACGGTGGGGGATAGGAAGAGAATGAAGCAGGAGGATGAGAGCGACGAGTCCGCGCGAGGCGGGACTCCGGGAGTAGCGTACGGCGCGGGCGCTACACCATGCCTCCTTCTGACCCCGCCGGCGCATCCCCACCACCGACAGCCTTCTCAGGGTCTGCGCCCCACCCCTCTGCATTATCCTCCTCTCCGAAAGTCTCTTCATCAGACTCGTGCGCCAGTGGGGCCCCGAGCACGTCCACGGTGCTTGCCACGCTCGCGAAGCGCATCGTCGACGCCGCATCCCGGGGGTGACCGACAACGAAGGAAGACCCAGTGCCGGCGCTGCTAAGCAACGTGTCGGACCCGCCCCCGCCGTTGGCGCCGCGGTGGTCAACCTCGCGCAGGTTGAGGATGAAGCGTGAGACCAGAATGGACGTGATGCTGCAGGATCGTGGATTAGGATAGGATCGTTGCGAGGATTTGGCGGGAAGGGTACACATACGGCTCCTCGAGAATCGTTACGTAGCTGGCTTGCGCAATCATGTTGCTGGGCTGAGGTGGGTGCTTGTTACTGATCCACCGGTGCGTGACGAAGGCGACACCGCGGCTCACCTTGACCGCGTTAAGCATCATCTGCACTGCATTCATAGCGACAAGTACGCTGCAGACCCGTCAGACATCTGGATCTATACACAGCACGGGACTTAAGTACTCACACGAAGTAGATCGTTCCTGCCAAACCGTCATCAGCCACCCTGTTTATACCAGCCGAAGGCCTCGAAGAGACTTACCATCACGAAGCAGGATAGTGCTGAAGGACGTGGAAATTCTCGCGTCGCGCGACGCCTTCCTGAGCCCGTACGTGTTTGCCCAAGTCACCGCAATGACTAGGACGTCCGCGGCCATCAGCGTTGCACGCGAGACGATCGTTACTGCATGGTGCCGTTTCAATGTCCCGTCTACAAGCACAGCACGAGAGAGCGATGTACGTACAGCTGTGCGTGCGCTGTCGCAGTCAGTATACCGGAAAATGGACGTAATTACACAGTAAACTCGGAGGAAGCTCACTTTTTGCTCAACTGGGGGGTGATGTCCGACAGCTCGTTACAATTTAACGGCGCGTCGAGGTTTATGTAGCTAAAGGTGGAGAAATAATACTGCGGCGAGACAATGCGGCCTCTTCAGCTTCCCATGCGGCCTATTTCAAAGGCCACTCACAGCATTCACTCCCACAGGCACCAGTGAGAGAATGAAGATGACAATGCCGATGGCAGTGGTGCGGCCGCTGAGCGCATAGGCTCGTAGAGCGGAGAAAGCTTTATGTGGCGAGGGAGGGTCAGCCACCATGAATGATGAGCGTAGATGAGATGCACATACTGGCCCATATGATGTACGGCAAGAACTCGAGCACGGCGACGAACCGTCCTATACCCGGACATCTGCAGAATGTTTAGCACGACTTAAAATCTTGCCCATTGGTAGACTATGAACTCACGCCTGCATAGCAAGGATCAGCACCGCATTGCTTGAAATATGGGAGGACTCACTTTGGATTGGATCGGGAACTGCATGACGACGCCCAAGAGGTAAGGCAGAATGATGAAGTATCTGTTCACAAGGAACAGGGCGGTCGCTCCTGAGATCTTGCGGCCCCAGACAAAGCGTACTTCATGGCGGAATGTGAGGATGTAGTCGTAGAGCAGCAGTGCTGGGGTACCAGTTAGCGGAAGCATGAGCCTCCACTGTAAGTTCTAACGTACCGAAAGCACAGTGGGTCCAGCATGAGTACAAGTCCCTGTCGTGTCGTTTGAGTATCGACCACCACAGTGTCACAGTGTGTGTATTCTCACGTAGCTTGGTAGAGCAGGACAAGCTCAGCAGCAGCGTTGAGGTCGGTTTCGGAAGCCATGTAGCTACTCGTAGTGTTAGCAGCCTGAAGGACACGGACACGCACACAGGGGGGGGGGGGGGTCAGTGCGTGAGTCGAAACTCGGACGAAGGTTTCCGGGAGTGCAAGATTCGCTCGGGCGGAGATGGTGACCGATAGTGTACTTCCAGGTGATGATGTGTCTGCTCATCTAGGATCGTTGTCACCCCGCGGTGTACCTCCGGCGTTGGCTCAAGGCGTTTGACCCGCCGAACCACCTGTCCAGTCCAGCGCTACAGGCGCATGGACACTCCAAAGCGACCATGTCACACTTCTGTCGCGCTGTTCTCGACCACGCGCCGCTGGGTTCGTTCCGGCGGCGATTCTTCGCGCAGGAGCCTACGTACTGTCCTGAGTGCGGAATGTTGCAAGACTGCGAGCACGTACTCTTCAAGTGCACGCGCTACCGCCGGTGGGGGGATCTGCGAGGGGAACTCGAGTTTCTGCTGGGGGTGAGCACATACCGTGAACTCGACGGATTCCTTACCACGAACGAAAGTGCGTTCTCACTCGAGAACGCGCCGACTTGATGTGACGAGTGGGACGAGAAGAACCACAGCCGTGGTAGCGAGCCGGACACGGCAAGCTCAGAGCCCTTAGATGTCGGCGCCATAGGCTGAAAAACACTCGCCGCCGACCGTGTAAACACAATCAAAACGCCGCACCTGTACTACGTATGAGCGAGATATAAAAATTTGACCTTAAAAAAAGACGTGGTTGACGCATTTCGAGCCATGCTCAGGATTGCAGGTCTATCGAATCCGGGGAATTCTTGCCTGTGGAGCAATGCGGCTGCTGAGCGCATATGCTCGGAGCGCAGAAAATGCTCGAAGAAAAAGTCAACAACTCAGCGGATAGGAACGGATACAACAAACGTACTGGCCCATATAATGTATGGGATGACCTCGAGTACGGTGATGAAGCGTAGTCATCGTTGTGACCGAAGGACTGTGCGTGCCTTAAGGTTTAGTCAAGTGCGACGGGGACAAAGGCTGGAGGACGGGCATACCAAATATATTTTACGCTTCCGAACGCCCGCTCTATGCAGATGCTGACTTTGTACAAGTAGGTTTCTAACAGTAGAAGGTTACTTCAGCTACCGCACACCAGGTGGTAGACAAGCAGCCCCCAATACTGTAAGGTACTACGGTCAGTGTAAATTGGTTAGCCGCAGGCAAAACTGTGTGGCGTACCTGATGATGATATGTGGCATCAGCTACAGGTTCAGCTAGTGTTTCAAATCGAATATACCGGCCGCAACTGAGGTGAGTAGGATGTCCAGCATCGGACCTGTGAAGTGAAGCCAGTGTCAAATATGAGGCGAGAGCGACAAGGAGTACGGGCCACTGAAAAATACCACTGGTGACCGAGGCATTTTCAATCGACATTTCGTAACCGCGTCGTGAATTTTAGGAAAAAAATAGAGAAACACTGGATACCGGCAGATTGCAGATGCACACCGGTATCATGAAGGCTTCATGGTATTTAACAGGACCTGCAACCAGAAACGATCAGTCAAATGAACGTTGTGAATGGAAAAACATCCTCACGTTCAGTCTGCTTTTGTAACCGCCATCATCCTTATAGAGACAGCACACAACGTGTTGAGCAAGCCGAGAACAAGAAAGGGTATCCGATTATTCAGCTGAATAGATCCTCACGATAGTTACGAAAGCGTGTTACTCGACCCCACTGTCCACCGTCCGTCCATGCAGGCCCCGAGCACGTTCACTCGAACGGCATCCCCTCGACGGCGTCCACAAGCGACGCCCAGTTCCCGACCGACGCCTCGGAGAAGTCGTGCTCCTCGCGCGCGAACGCCTGCACGGCCTGCGTGAGCAGCGTGTTCTCCCGATTGTGCAGCACGACGCGCAGTTCGTGCCACATGCTGCGAGCGCGGCCGTCAGTGTCACGCTCTGCGATCTGTGGCGCGCCGTGGAAACATACCTGGCACGGATGAACACACGTCGAGCGAGTAGCGCTGCGATCGTGGCTTGGTCCTTCTCGATCGCGCCCGTGAGCTTGTCCACTTCCTGCTCGTGGCCCTCCTTCTGCGCCTGCCGGACGGTCTCGAGCTTGTGCCCGGTTGTTTCCACGCGCTTGCGGAGGCGGTCAACTAGGTCTGGCGAGAGCCGGTCGTGGCGGATGAAGAGGTCGCGCATCGCGATGTAAAGGTCACGTTGAGCCTTGCGAGCGTGTCTGTCAGTTACAGGTTGGGGGTGATAGACGGCGGTGATGAACACACCTTCAATGCTTCCAACGTGGAATACAGCATCGTCCGGGACTGGCGTGGGTAATTGGTCATGAGCATGAGCACACCGTGGCAAGCGCGACACATACCCGATGCTCAAGCGCGTCGGCGTGACGCTGTGTGTGGTCGGAGACGTGGCCGAGACCCTGGCGCACACCAGCGCACAGCTCGCAGTCTTCGCCGCGCCAGCAGCGCTCGTTCACCTCAACGAGGGCCTTGAACGTGTTCGTCAGACGCGACAGGTCCGCCTGTCCGTCCAAAGTCGTGGTGCGCCGCGCCGCACCAGTAAGGCCGGAAAAGATTGAAGATGCCGAATCGCGATCGGAGGCGTCCGCGGAAGAGGCAGCGGAGGTCCGCGAGGGCGAGGCGGGAGCAGAGTGGGAGGACCAGCGCGTTGAACCGGATGGGACCAGGGCGGAGGTAGAGAGAGAGGCAGCGAGCGAGAACGAGGGCAGGTGAGTCGGCAAGAAGCTTGGCCTGAGGACAGGAGTGAGCCGTACCGCTGCTGCCTCTCGGCGCCTGACGATCCGCTCCGTGAGTAGGCAGATGCGCTGCCAATGTTCGATGAGGAAGCTGATCTTTCCGCGCACGACGCTGAGCAGGGCAGTTAGCCTCGGTTAACATACTAAACGGCGGTTTCTGGCGAGCAGCCTGACACGAATTCGAACGGAGAATTTGTGGCCCGATATGTGCGATGTGATTCGAAGATTCGAAGGCAGTCAAAATGGAGGATACCGCGTCTTCGGCGGTGCGGATACTGAAGTGCGGAAGAAATAGCAGTGGGGCGGAAAAACACGTACGCAAGTTTATCGTCGAGATCACTGGGTATGCTCATCTCTTCCACGCGATCCACACGTTTGCTCGCCGACTCCTCTTCGTAGGTTATAGAGGTGTGTTTGCGCCACTCCTCAAAATGCGGTTCTGTAAGGAACGACGCGAGGACACCATCTTCCTTAATAATGGGATGATTCCTATGGCAGACCATGAGCCACGCAGCTACTGGTTATGATAGAGGGAGAGCGCTCACACAACGAAGTTGATGAAGCGTGCGAGGCCTCGTCTGATCCACCGTAATAGTTAGTTTGTCAGGCCGAAGACGGCTCACAGATTTGTCGCTACGAACCTTCGTTGTTCCAAGAAACCCTCGTCAGCTGTGAACCGCCGTCAGATCAGGATTCAGGATCACTATATATGTCTGTCAACTTACCTCCTATCCGCTTAGGCGGTAGTGCCGGCAAGAGACGGAAGGGATAGCGCTTGACTAACACGTCCCAAAGAAATACAAATTCGGAATACCTCCGAGGTACGGGGGGCCCGCGCTGCAAGATGAGGACTTAGCCACATTGTGAAAGATCTCGTGGGTTTACGCACGTCACTGGAAACCTCGTAGACAAGGTATCTATTCAGGACGAATCCTTGATGTCCCAAGACGTTGACAAAGATAGTCTCCTGCTTCTTCCACCACTCACGGGGAAGGCCAGTGCCTGCTATACTCGATTGCGCCCCGTTGTTAATACTGCCAAGAGCAGGAAGCTTGGACGGGGCGTTCGGTGACGTCGTTATCCTCGAGGCGTTCCAGGGGTCATCGGCAGAGTAGCCTCGGGTAGGAGGAGGAAGCCGCATGATGTCATGAAAGTTGGACGACGACGGCGTGATCGAGTCGACGTCAAGGCTGGGTTCCGGGAGGGCATTCTGTTGTGCCAGAGCAGCTACACGCTCTATACTGAGATCTGGAGTAAAGCGCTCAGTTTGTCGTGTAATAGACGCATATAGCCAAGCAATTTACCTTTCCCGGACTGCGCAAGGGCGGCGAGGGCGAGAGCAACAAAGAATTCCAGGCGTGATACGCGTGGACGGGAGCTGACAAGGCTCACAATCTGTATAGACAATGTGAGCAAGTCGTATGAGCAAACTGGTGTAACCTGGCGCACCTTATCCACAGTGGACGCTGGGAGAGATGATGTACCCAGCGCTCTGGAGAGGGCGTTGACAGAAGTTTCGCCCGTGCTGTTTGGGTCGACAGCAGACCAAGCCCGGTTGTAGATATGTGGTACAGTCGCATCTCCTACAGGCGATGAACATATGGGCACACGCCAAGCCACAGTACATACCTATCACAGAGCTGAAGCCGTTCGTAGACGGCGTGAACGAGGGAAGGGCAGGAGGGGCCGGACTGGGTGCTGCACTCCAAGGGTCCAAGCCGTCGTCGTACACAGAGCTGAGGAGGGGGTTCTCGGTGGCCATGAAACTCGCACCAAATTGGGAGGTGCCTCCGCCGTAAGGCTGCACCGGACGAGGAGCGTTGAACATGGCGAGGTCGAGTGATCAAGTAGTTGTGGTCGTAAAGGACACGTTAGACTTCGTATCGTGTAGTCAGCAACGAGACGTGCAGCATATAGCCAGAAGAGAAGTGGCAGTGGTCGATGAGCACGTCGTCTCAGGCGGTGAGGACGACGTCGACCGGATCGCAGGCACGCAGCAGGCGCTCAACTTGACGTCGCGCAGTGCAGTGATTGTGTGACTGGCATGACCGTGACGAGACGCGGTCACAGGATCGCGGTGGTGACGGCCATGTGCGCCGGAGATTGGAGCTCCGACCACACGCCTGTGAGCGCGTCTCGGCGCGCGTCGTGAGACTCAGCCCTCCGCTTCCTCCGCTCCTCTCTCGCCTTGTCCTCCTTTCTCCCCCATGAGCGCGGAAATGCAGTCCGCCCCCCGTCCAGCTGCCCAGCAGCCCCCCGTCAAGATCTACAATGCCGTTTACTCCTCCGTCCAGGTCGGTTCTCCCACCATTCAGGCGCATATAGTCAGCTGAAGCGGCAGCATAACGCGTATAGGTGTACGAATGCATGGTCCGCGGCATTGCCGTCATGCGAAGACGCGCCGATTCCTATGTGAACGCGACCCAAATTCTCAAAGTCGCGGGCGTAGACAAGGGCCGCCGTACCAAGATTCTTGAGAAGGAAATCCTGCCAGGAAAGCATGAGATCGTGCAAGGCGGCTATGGGAAGTACCAGGGTACATGGTGAGTCTTTCATTCATGCAGCTCGCGATTGTCGCGCCTATGGTGCAACGCAACATCTGCACGGGGGTATGGCGCGTCCAGACTATCCGTATCGGGGGAAGTGGCAACCTTCGCCCTGCGCATCGGGAGGTGCACTGAACACCCATGGGAGGCCGTATCCCTTGTCGTGGAAGCCACGTCGAGTATTCCGCCACCGTCATACCAGCGGGGTGCGTATACTTGACGTGTGCATGCTTCCATCGGCATACGTTACGTGATTGCCCATTTCGGCACCGCAAGGGGCCCCGCGATGAGTTTCATTGCATGGTCCTAATTGAAGTGGGAGCGACGTTTGCGCGAGACTTGCGACGCCGCTCTTCGCCGCATATCAAGTGCTATTGTCGGCGAGGACACGCTGAAGTATGAGACGCGTCGTGTGTGACATCGCGTTATCCCATCTTGCTTCCCCGTTCCCATACTGAGCCAATCATCACAGGATCCCACTCGAGCGTGGACGCGACATCGCCCTCCAGTATGGTGTCGCACCATTGCTCGCACCACTATTCGACTTCGTTCCCAACGCGAACCCCATGGGCACATTGCCCGCGTCATTAGCGGGTGTACCTGGTACGCCTCTTGAACTGTCTCCCGATGGTCAATATCCTGATCTAGACATGTATGTGAATGTGCATATGGAGGTCTAGCGCCGCCACCTATCATGCCGGGTTCAGCACTGCGTCTTCTGAATCAAGGACGCGCACAAGGGCTATTCACGCCTTCTACTTCCAGTATGTCTGTTCGTCATCATGTATCCAGCGCTTCACCCCGCCCACACTTCTTAGCTGGCTACCCTGCTGGTTTTCCCTCGCTCGGGCCCATCTCGCCCACGCCGCCGCCGTTGAGCCATTCACTCAAACGCTCACATTCGCAACTAGACTATGAATACCACTCCATGGGGTCAGTTCCAGCATCGCAAACTGCCCCGCCAACTCTCGCCGCATCACCCGACATCCAGATGCTTGACCGCTCAAGACCCGCATCGACCGCCCCTCAAACGGATGGCGGCCCTTCTCCCTCGAAACGCGCTCGTACAGAACCGCCTATATTGCCCGACGGTATCGGACGTGTTTCTCCTGATCTTTCGACCGTCCAACCCCATGCAAGCATGCCTCCACCCGCGACGACTGGGGTACAGCACCCATCACCCCCGAATGTGACCAGTAATGGATTCTCCAGACCCTCAAGTTCTCAAGCGATCGCGCCCAACGGGAAGGCGTCCGAAAGCAAACCCGGCTCGCCTCAGTATAGCATTCGATTTGCCTCTAAACCTTCCATCTCGCGAACTACCGACCCCAACGCACCAGCACGCGATGCAAGACGCGCTTCCATTGTACAAGCAATTTGTACTCGAGATGACCCCCAACCCGTACTAGACCTGATCCGCGAGATCCCTCCGGACAACCCCGCACTGGCGTCGGACATTGACCTGGTTTTGGATGAGCAGGGGCATACAGCTTTACACCTGGCAGCCAGCACTGCGCGCCACACCACCGTCACGGCGCTCATTGCAGCAGGCGCAGACGTGCACCGCGGCAACTACAGCGGAGAGACGCCTCTGATGCGGGCATGCCTTGCCACACACTGCTTCGACACACAGTCGTTCCATACGCTAGTCGCGTCTTTGAATGCAAGCATTCGCACGCTCGATACTGCGCGGCGGAGCGTGTTCCATCATATCGCGGCCACGGCGGGGGTTAAGGGGCGCGCGACCGCAGCACGGTACTACCTCGACCAGATCAACCTGTGGATCGTGAACAACGAGAAGGCGGATTTTCACTCCATCACCGACATCCAGGACGAGCATGGCGACACGGCACTTAACATCGCAGCCCGGGTGGGAAATAGGGGTTTGGTCAGAGCATTGTTGGACGCCGGTGCCAATAGGCTCCTTGCAAACAAGCTTGGGCTCCGGCCAGGGGACTTTGGCGTTGAAACCGAGGTATGTCACGCCCTTACAGTTTCAATGAAGAAAGTTATTCTGAGTGACTGCGTGTTTCAGGAACTTACCCGATCGGAGGACATCTTGTCTTCACTACGATCAGGCCCTTCTGTTCCCTTGCAGAAGAGCCAGGATGTAATAGCTGGTAAGCGTCCGTATAATCGCGGCTGTGGAGGGTGCTCACTGCATTGTAGATATCAGCAGTATGATCCAAGGGCTCGGATCGGAGTTCTCCGCAGAGGTGAAGACGAAGCAGGATCAGCTGGATGTTACACAAGCACACCTCCGGGCGGCGACGCGCGAGCTCTCGGAGCAGCGCAAGCAGATCCAGCAATGGCAGGGGCGCTGTGGCGAGCTCGACCAAACGACTCAGCGTATACGCAACCTGGAGAAGGCCCTCGCGGACGAGGACAACTTCGACTGGACCGGCCGGACTGAGCTCGACGGATCGGACGCCGGGCCGTCGTCGGGCCCCGCATTCCAGGCTCGGGGGTCTGATTCGGCTCTGACCGGAGTCGGGGGCGCGGCAGACGTACCTGCGCATCTGGACGTCGACCCGACGATCCCATTGGGCGACTCGGTCGCAAACCTCATCAAGATGCGGCGGCTGAAGATGTGGTACACGCGCGTGGAGCAGCTCATGGAGGCGCGGCTGCGCTCGCTGGAGGGCGCGAGCGCGCAGAAGGAGTACGAGTGCAAGAAGATCGTCGCGCTGTGCACGGGGGTGCCGCTCGACAAGGTGGACGAGGTGAGTGGGTGGTTCGTCGGCGCGCTCGATGACGTGGTGGCCGTGCAGCTGCCACGCACGGTGCGGAATGCGCATGGAAGGACGTGGTGCTGAGCGTAATTTGTGCTCGTGTGTGCAGCTCCTGGAGAACCTGGTCGTCGCGATGGAGAGCGAGTCGCAGGTGATCGACATCAGCCGGGTGTCTGGGTTCATGCAGAAGGTGCGCGTTGGTTGTACAGCTCTTGGTGGCGGCGTGCTCATGCTATGTATTCGTTCGCGGCTAGGTTCGGAACGGTGTGATATAGCGGGTAGATAACGAGCAAGGCACGGCACGGACATGCCCTCCGAGGCAGCGATGGACGTTCCTCCGCGTAGTGTATATCGGATTGAGGCTCGGCGCTCTCCCCCTTTCGTCTCGGTGTCGTCGTAACGTTAATGGCCTGAATCACTGTATTACTATGCATCGTCGCCATCTATTATTATGTGCAAGCGTCGCAGTATACCCCCTGCCCTCCTGCTTCTTGTACGCAGCCTGCATCAGAAAACTCGAGGACGGAGGCCTCAAGGATTCGAGGAGTAGTGCTCCTAGGCACCGCCACCATCGCTACTACCAGCACGGGCGCCTGAGTTCCCGCCGCACCTCAACCAGGTTCAGCATTTCAACCGAAACACGACGACCGCCGGAACAAGCTAGTGGTATGCACGACGAGTCGTGTGGCGTTTGTACCAACTCCTGTTTAGGCATCGCGGCGATCGTGTTTTGAGACGTGGTCGGTGTGACCGCCGCGGATGTCCCGTCGATCATGGTAGAACAAGGATGCCCCTATTGGGACACCTATTGTTCCAAATGCATCGGCGAGGTATAAGAGGCTGGGCCGGAGGGCCGGGGTGGAGGTGCTTCTCAACCAACTTGGAAGGTCGCTGCGCCTTTAGAAACCCACACATCTTCGATTTCTTTGCTTCTTCGCGGTTCGGGCTTTACGGAGCAGTGTTGCGAAATGGAGGTGGAGTATATGGACATTGAAGAAGGAGATTATGGTGCAGGTACGTCTATGACACGGAATGAAGCGATGTGGGACTGACTGGGCTGGTGTGTCCGAACACACTTGCTAGGCCGCCAGACCGAGACGAGCGAGCAGCCGGAGGGACCAGAAACTTTTGCCGTAAGGCGAGACTATGGTGAGTTCAAGCATCCCACGTTGCTCCATATTTCTAATTGTCACCGCCTTCTGCAGAGCTACCCACGGAGCTATTAGAGGAGATCTTCGTTGAGGCGTGGCTGGCCATCCCTCTATTCGACTCTATCGACCGCTGGTTTCTCTTCTCCACGCTCTCACTCGTGAACCACCAGTTCAGACTCCTCGCTCTCTGGATGTCAACTCGCCACGTCCGTGTGCTCTCCCACTGCTCGACGGATGTCGCCGCCTACCGCAGCATCGGGCAGCAGTATCTCGCTCTCCAGCAGGCGCCCCGCGGGGTTCCCTCTCCGCAGGCGGACCAGGAGGAGCTTCTGAAGTGCATGTTCCAGCACTCCACAGTGCACCTTGACGTTACCTACGCGGCACATACCGCCTGGAACATGCCCGACCTCTGGCTCAAGGACGACATCTCGCCTGGCGGACCGGACGACTACCCGGACCTCCGCGTCAAGTACGATGGCGACGCCAGCCTCTTCGGGGAATACATCTACCCGAAACCCGTGGATCGCAGCAATGTATACTCCTCCTGGCTCGCACGGCGCCGACGCGACCGTCTCTCCGGCTGGTTCGCCACGCTGCTCGCAGCGGTGCCCGACTGTGCCGCGCTCGTGCTAGAGGCGCAACCGTCGAACAAACTGTTTGGGATAACGGCATACTCGCGCCTTCTGGAGGCGGTCTGGTGGTGGAAGTCGCTCGCCGCGGTGCACTTCCTCTTCATGCCTGAGAACACGGACGTCGATGAACAGATGGGGGGAATGAGCCGCGGACCGGGGGCGTTCCTGCCTCCGCTCGTCGGCGTGCGGCGCGTGTGGCTGGACTGTGAGCTGCGGTGCACATGTTGGCAGGACAGGACACCCGTAGTGATGCATGCGGAGGATTGTATCATGCGACGGCTGCTTGAGCCGTTCCGGGGATTGCGAAGCAAGGAGGACGTTGTGGTACCCCCCGGCTTCGAAGTGCGCGATTGGTGCACTTCCGACGCGTCTTTGCGGACTTTGATGCTCGTCGGACCATGCAAGGAATCCAACAACAGCTCCAAGGACAAGCGCACGCCGAATATCATGTATGAGGACACGCTCTGGGAGTTGGTCGACCCGGTGAGTCCATTTTAGTAACGCTTTTGGCCGTCTGCTGAGTTCGTACCGCTGCCAGAATCGTGATGTCAACGCCCGATATCATCCAAGCATACACGGGGCCGATATTCTTACTCCACAACCGTATCCTAACCAGCAGTCAGCGGACTGGTCAGAGGGATATTTGGGCCTTTGGCGATAGAGTAGAAGAGGCACTCCTATAAGCAGCTAATCATACAATATACTGTCGCGTTGATCCTATATACCGCCGTCCGGCGTAAAAATCTGGAAATTGCGGTTGTACGTCCCCGACGCGAGCATCTTCCCGTCGTGGGAGAGGTCGACGGACATGACCTTCCCACCGTCCGTCGGGAGCGTGCGCAGCAGCTGCCAGTCGTCCGCGCTCCACAGCTTGACGAGACCGTCGTACCCGCCGCTCGCGAGGTACAGGCCCGAGCGGTACTTCCACTCCTCGACGGCCTTGTCGATCTCGCTGTCGACGGGCTTGACGTCGGGGTCGGACTCCTCGGTGCCGTTCATGACGACGTCGGGTGCGACTGCCTGGGCTGGGGGGAGCTCGTCCGCATAGAAGAAGCGCACGTCAGAGACGTTGGACAGGTGTGCGGGGATCGTGTACATCGCCTTGAGCGAGCGCATGTCCCATATTCGGATGGTGTCGTCGCCGGATCCTGTAGCAATCTGGTATCTGCACGGCCCGTAAGATTATTTCTCACTTCGACACAAGAAGACGTACCCGTTTGGCGAGAAAGAGATGCCGAAGATGGCCTGAACGTGGCCGTCTAAGACCATGGCTGTCCGGCCTGTCCGGAGATCCCATACGCGTCCTATGGCATCCAGTCCACTGAGCGCGAAATGAGAATGGGTGAAGGAGAATTGCGGAATACGTAGGTACTGACCCTGATGCACAGAGGGCGCCATCGTCCTGAAACTCTACCGAGAAAACCTCCTTCGAGTGGCCTTCCTGCAGGAGCAGCTCCTTCGCTGTGGCCACATCCCATAGTCGCCACGTTGTGTCGAAACTCGCACTTGCGACGTACTTTCCCGAAGGATGGAAAGCCACACGCGCGATTCGATTTGCGTGACCTTTCATGGTCGCCAGCGGTGTCTCACTAAAAGTAGGGTTATGATACAGAACCTCGAGCGAGTATCAAGTACGGACCTGTTGAGAGACCAGAGATTGAGAGACAAGTCGGCCGCGCCACTAACGAAGTTAACCGCATCTTCACTCTGGGTTTTTGTGGCTTGAGGATGCCATGCGACTCCGCCAACACGGTCGGTGTGTCCTAGACCGCTCAAAATCTTGAGTCAAGTTCGCCAGTTTCAGCGCAGGGCCACAAACCTCGATATGTCCGAACCGGCGTACAGTCAGGGACGTTCCACAATTTGACGTTCCCGGCCCAACTCCCGGTGAGCAGGTACTTGCTATTGGGGGAAAAGCGGACCAAGGACACTGGTCGTTCGTCGCCGATTTGCGAGCCCAAATTGGCCAGGCTCTACAAGAAATTAGCGCGTTAGTGATCCTAAACATTTGTACATCGACTAGCTCACCTTCACTTCTGCGAAGACTTTCTTGCGAATGTCGATGATTCGCCCGAGTGGCATCTTGCTGTCTATCCGCTGCTGGGCGACTCGTTTTTGAGCTCTACATGGGAACAAGAAACACGGAAGAGAATGCAGTAAGCACCTATTCATGGTGGTCCACCTATCGGTAGTGGAAATCCAACCTGGGAAGAGAGTATTCCGCCAAGAGCCTCCGTGCCTCCAGCAATTCCAGGGAGCCTGGTGAGTAGAACTCCTCCTCCTATATGTGCCGTGTTGGTACCGGGGTAGGTTTACATGAAAAGTTGAGCGTACCTCCTCGTCCGAGCTTTCGTCGCTGCTCTCCTCGTCAACTTGCATGCCATCCTCTCCGCGTGCGGCATTGATTTGCGAGAGCACATATATAAGACGGTCTCTCCTGTCTGGTGGCTGTGTCGAGCTTAGCGCAACGACCACACGCAACGCATACACGACTTACGCGTTCACCGAAGAGCGTTATGGGTTCCCCAATTTCGCGAAGTCTTGCCTTGACCTTGTTGTCGTCCGTAGGCACTGCGAGGGTCCGCGCCTTCTTCTTGCGCTCGAGCTCATCGAGAATGACCTGGTTTTCTTGTCGCGCTCTCTCTGAGCCCAGAAAGTTGCCATCATCGAGCAGGGTGTCGAAGGTGAGCTCAGACATGGTGGGCGACCTGGACGCGCGAAGCAGAGACGCGTGAGGGCCGAAGCGCCCGGACATAGTTGCGGTTAAGATTGGCGCCTGTGGGTGTGACGGGGCGTGGACGCGACTGCGCTCTCACCCAACTCTCTTCCGTCCGCCACCTCCACGTATCGTCCTCCGCACCCCACCATGTCGCAGTCGGGCGGCGCGGGCTCCAGTAGGATGCGCAACAGAAAAGCCCCCTCAGAACTCTCTCGCGGCACCTCGTCAGACAACGAGGACGATGAGCACAACAACGATGCTCAGAACCCTGTACGTGACACGTATCGCGTACGTCTCATGTTTGTTTACCTACTCACGCGCACTTGGGGGTCCAGCGTAACCGCAGCTATGCGGAGAAGGTCCTTGAGTCCGAACAGGCCAACGTCGCGATGGTCGCAGTGCTGACAACGGTCGCGTTCGCGCTCCGTTTCTTCAAAATCAACCATCCCGACCAAGTGGTGTACGTTCCTGCGCACGCGTGTCATTGCTTCCCTCTATAACCGCGTTCATTTCAGGTTCGACGAGGTACATTTCGGAAAGTTCGCGTCCTACTACATCCAGCGACAATACTACTTCGACGTGCACCCTCCTCTCGCGAAACTCCTCTTTGGTCTTGCTGGCTGGTTCGTGGGCTATGACGGCTCCTTCGGTTTCGAGAACATCGGAGACAGCTACACTGAGGCTCATGTTCCCTACGTCGGTCTACGCGCTCTCCCTGCAATCCTTGGCAGTCTCACTGTTCCCATCGTCTACGGCATCATGAAAGAGTGCGGGTTCTCGACCATTGTTGCAACTTTCTCTGCCTGTATTGTCCTCTTCGGTACGACACGATTACCCAGACTCTGCCGTGTCATATGAAGCTCATCGTCCCACACAGATAACGCGCATATTGCCCAGGACCGCCTCATCCTTTTGGACGCGACACTGATCTTCTTCATGACTATGACCATGTACTGCTATATTCGCTTCAAGAAGCTCCGTTACCGGTATGCCGGTTCAAATCAGATGTATACACACTTGCTAACATCCTTTCAGCGACTTCTCGTTCGATTGGTGGATGTGGCTTCTTGCTTGCGGCACCTTCATGGCCTTCACGTGGGCTTCCAAAGTGAACGGTATCCTGACCGTGTTTGCTATCGGCCTTGCAGTCATTATCGACCTGTGGGATATCCTCGACATCAAGAAGGGTCACAGTTTGGTAAGAACAGGACCTTGTGAGTATGGAACAATGCTGACCTCCTCCTAGGAGTACTTCTGGAAACAGTTTGCTGCACGGGCTATCGCCTTCATTGTGCTTCCGCTGTTCCTCTACCTTTCCATCTTCTGGATCCATCTCGCCCTTCTCACGAACTCCGGTCCCGGCGACACCTTCATGAGCCCCGCGTTCCAAGAGACGCTGCGCGGCAACGAGCTCCTGCTTAACAGCCACGGTTAGTTCTTCGTTCAGTGTATATGTAGCTGTGCTGATTGCATTCAACAAACAACAGAGATCCGCTACTACGACACCGTTACGATCAGGCACAAGGATACCCGCGTGTTCCTCCATTCGCACCCTGACAAGTACCCTCTCAAGTACGACGATGGTCGTGTCAGTAGCCAGGGTCAGCAGGTCACCGGTTACGGTCATGACGATACCAACAACAACTGGCAAATTATTCCGACCAAGGCTCTCCCCGAGACCGGTCGTGGACGTGTCGTTCGGGACGACGACGTGTTCCAGCTCCTCCACATCAACACGCAGACACTCCTGCTCACGCACGATGTCGCGTCGCCTCTCATGCCGACGAACGAAGAATTCACAACGTGGCCCCAAGACGACCTCTCGCGTTACAATGACACGCTCTTCCAGCTGCGTCTTGTAGACGGAGAGGAGGGTGAAGCCTGGAAGTCCAAGTCCGGACACTTCCGCTTGATCCACGTTCCGACGAAGGTTGCGATGTGGACGCACCCCAAGCAGCTCCCTGACTGGGCGTACAAGCAGCAGGAGATCAACGGGAACAAGAACATCAACGACAAGACCGCCATTTGGTTTGTCGACTCGATCGTCGCCGATGAGAGTACGTGATGTGCAACAATCTTCGTTTCAAGTACACTTACGTTGACCTACCAGCCGGAGACGACATCAAGGACCGTGTGGGCGACGCTCCTCCCAAGGAGCCCAAATCCCTGAACTTCTTCAAGAAGTTCATCGAGCTGCAAATCCTCATGTTGCAGCACAACGCTGGTCTTACCGCGTCGCACCCTTACGCCAGCGGCCCCATCAACTGGCCTTTCCTTATTAGCGGTATCAGCTTCTGGACGCAGACCGAGGGTCAGAAGCAAATCTACTTCATTGGTAACATCGTCGGCTGGTGGGCGTGTGTCATCGGTATCTCGCTCTACACGGGAATCATGCTCGCGGACTTGATCGCGCGCCGTCGTGACATCGAGCCTTTAACGGAACGTAAGTCCTCTATAGCCACTGCGGTAGCATGACATGCTCACCGATGGCATACAGCCGTCCGCCATCGTCTCCTGAACTCGACCGGCTTCTTCCTCCTCTTCTGGGGCGTGCACTACTTCCCATTCTTCCTGATGAGCCGCCAGCTATTCGTTCACCACTACTTGCCATCCCATGTCGCGTCCGCGCTCGTTGCAGGCTCCGTGCTCTCGTTCGCACTGTCGGAGTCTGTCAACTACCCCGTATCAGTATGGGGACCGCGCCTTCGTACGCCGAAAGTGGCTACGTATGCGGACCTCGGCTCGCGGGGCCCGATCGCTGTTGGCGCGTTCGCGCTTGTCCTATTCATCTCGTTTGTGTACATCGCGCCGCTCACGTACGGTACTCCCGGGTACGTTCGCTTTTTTTCATCTCCAAATGTACCTCTTCTAATGAAGATGTGCATAGACTGGATGGACACTCCGTCAACGCGCGCAGACTCCTCTCGAGCTGGACGCTGCACTTCGCAGCGAAGGCGACGGACGGCGCATAGGTACGCCGGGGGCTGCAGAAGCCTATGCGATGTGGGCTTGGCTGTGGGTACGTGCTCCCACTCGGGTGCGGAGTCGGCGCTGGCAGCTGTTGACGAACGAAACTAGTAGCTTCTTCGACTCTATATATTCTGGAACTCAGCTCTGTGTAACTGATAATGGATTGGCATCGCAACGTCAGAACTGTCTGGCAGGAAGTGTGATCAGAACGTGCCACAAGCACTTTCCCATCCGGTATATGGGACGGACCTGAGTGGGTACAGGGCCGCAGGAGTTCATCGTCGCAGTGGTTTGCCGGCACGACAGGGCCTTCGAAAGACACGTTATCGGCGAATAGCAGACGAACAGCGAAAAGATGCTAACTCAGACGGCAGCCCTTGGCCCTTCGCAAGTTCGCATTCCAGACTCGGCCTTGGCGCGTGCTGCCGTACTGGCACCGTGAAGCTTCCCATTTCGCACTTCGCGCGAAACCGTGCATCTTTTAGGGCGCGCGCCGTCAAATTGCGCATTGGCTCCGCGCGGCCACGGTTCTGTTACCGACCTTCTGACGACCGGGCTTCTCAGTTTATTGGGAGGGCCATCGCGCAACACTAGTGAGTAAGCCCCGTTCCTGTGCAGGTGCACACTGCTGATGCGCCGTTGAGCAGAGAACGTTCTATGGCCATGTAAGGTCGTAACGACTTGCGATCTGCGGTGGCCACAACTGTCTAGGTGGACGTCGGCAATAACTCGAATCCCACAACCACATGTCCCTTCCTCATGTGCGTTTGATGCGCACCGGGGGCCAGGATCGCCGCCCAGGCAGAGAGACACGTGCGATGGTTGGTAGCAACGATTTTTGAATCGCAGGACAAGGAAATTTTCAAGACGGGGAGATGACGAAGTGCATCGTTGTCGACGTGGCAAACTCAAATCCTCTCACTGCCAACGGGATGTCGATGACGGTGAGGTGAGGTGCGTTCGGTTCGCACTGGGCGGTGACTTCGAAGCTCGCGGAGGCTCGCCGCTCTGCCGAGCGATGCGCTCAAGAATCTCAACCTTGATGTCGGGTACGTACTCGGGGAGTGGAGTGCAATGCACATAGCAGATCCCGGCCAAGGAGGTTCTCGTGGGAGACAACAGTAACATTGACAACAGGGGTATACCACCAGAGCGCGCGCCATACGAACATACACAGGATTATGGAGCGTGTAACCTACAGACCAACGGACCTGCGCTGCGCTTTCCTCACTCAAGCGACTCGAGCCACTGCTTCGACGCCTCGTACCCCTGCGTGTTCTCCGGCTCGTGCCAAGCGTGGGTCATCGGGACATGCGCCGCGTGCGGGATCTCGACGTACGTGACCGCACGCACCCCGATGTCCGCGACAAGCCGGTCGCGCAGCGTGCGCACCGGGTCGAGCATCATCTCCCCGCCCCCGATGATAATGCACGTCGGGGGCAGATCCCTGAACAGCCCATCCGGGTTCGGGATGCGCGTCGACCCCGGGGAGATCCACGAATTCTCCCAGGCGGCTGCGGGCGGGAGGTGCCCGATGAGCGCCTGCGTCGGGAAGCCCTCGAAGAAGTCGTGCACCATGTCGTTATCCCAGTTGCGCGCGAATGACGACTCCGGCCCTTCTTGCGTGTGCCCCCAGTCCGACGCGGGAGAAAGCAGGAGCTGCCCGCGTGGGCTCGCCGCGCCGGGCTCCGGACCGGCGCCGAGCGAAGGAAGTGCGTTTTGTGCGAGGTAGCGCGTGAGCTGGAGCGCGAGGTTCGCGCCTGCAGATTCGCCCATGATGAGGATGTTCGAGGGCTTGAAGCCGAGGTCGCGCACGAGGTACTGGTAGCCCGCGAGCGCGTCAAAGAGGGCTGCGGGGAAGGCGCCCTGGGCGGGGAGCGGGTCGCTCCAGGAGAGCCGGTACTCGCACTGGAAGATGCGCTCGTAGCCCTTCGGGACGTAGTCAAACATCTTGCGGTAGATGTACCCCGTTGCGAAGTCCGGGTGCGCAGAGCCCATCTACGAAGCACAGGAGAAAAGAATTAGGGTGAGTATGCACGAGCGGGTCGCGCGATAGCAGCGTGCGAGACTCACGACGAAGCCGCCCCCTGCGAATGTGGCGCATAAGCTGCGGGCGCAGGGCGGACATTAAGGGAGGAGAATGCTCACCGTGGAAGCCGTAGATAACCTTCTCGTCGGGACCAGCTTGCTGTCCGACCTTGCCGTCGGGGCCACGTTTGCCCAACCAGTAACCGGCGGTACGCTCAGGCTTGATGTTGTTTACGCGCGCCGCCTCTTTGATCTCGTCGAGCACGATGAGGTCGGGTGCGGGCTCCGTCCACACGAGCCCGAGCTGGTCGCCTTTGCCAGACTTCTCGACCGCGGTGGGGTCAAAGCACATCGTAGTGACCGTCGTGCGGAAGATGGTCGTGATTAGGACGCGATAGCACTTCACGAGTACCATACGGCCGAGAGACCACGGCACAGGGCGCGTAGACGGGAGCGCATAGCGGATGGTCCAGTATGGTACGCGGACGAGCAGCAGCGAGAAGGCGACGTAGAGGTAGTAGAAGGTCTGGAGTGGCTGGCGGCGGAATGCGAAGTACGCCATCTTACAGTACCGGCTGCAGGGTGTGGTGGCGTCGTGCGAGAGTTGGCGGCGACCTCAGAGCTTAGAGGACAGATGAGGAGCGCTGATTACGCAGGAGAACGTTCGACTGGGAGGTGCGGAAGAGGAGATGACAAGCTGTAACGCATGAGGGGCGTTCCAATACCACATTGCTCCCACACGGAACCCTGGGCAGCGTGCCCGAGCGCCGTGGGTACGGCGAATGCAATTTGGAAATCCTTCCCCACCTCTGCGTGGGCGGCAGTGGGCAGAGTGATCCTGGGAGCGGAGAAAAGGGGGTAATTCCGTCAGCCTCTGATTTCTGATAGAGGAACTCTATGTCAGTGATGCATACCGGGACGCCATGAATTTACTCAGACTGAGCGTAAGCTGCAGCCAAGCGAGGACATGGTGGTGATTGCACAAGCGTAAGTGTACGGCTCACTTGGCGGGCGCCGGTCTGGTGCTCGCGGAGGCTGATGCCTGCTCTCATCGCCACAGGCTGGCCATCAAAGCACGGCTGCTTTAGGCAGCGGTGATCAATACGGACCTGGTCAATCATGTTGAGATGATCATATGCCCCCGCGCAGACTCTTCAAATTCCAGCATCTACAGGTACAGCACGCCGGGGTGTCTCACTGAGCAGCCAAGGCGCAAGCTCAAAGCCAAGCGTTCGCTGTAGCTTGCATCTGTTAGCTCATTTCCGAAACAGAAATATGCACGGGCTCCAGTACTGGCCTCTGATGCTGATATTCTGAGTGCTCCGGTGTGGGTCACTCCGGTGTATACACACATAGGCATGCACTAAGTAGCATCAGGGTCGATGCTTCGATGGTCCAGGGGTGGTGGTCAGAAGCCAGAGAACATTCACTTGAAGGCGCATGGAGAGGAACACTTCAGAACGGTTCAGTCGTTCCAGCAGAAACGGCGCAACGGTCACGTCCGTCCGTCGTGGCGAAGACCAGTGTATGGGTCGTTATGTGCTGCGAAGAGTTTAGCACCAGCGTGCGATATCATATGCGCCCACTCACCTTCTGACCGGGCTTTCAGGGAGGCGGGACTGTCGGTCATCTGTATTCGGCCAGGTCGCGATGCGCGGTCCCGCGACTACTAGGCTCGTGCCTTGCCAGTGGAAATCTGCAGATTCAAGAGATTGTCGATTGTCGTGCAGGGTAGCCGGCGGAGTGTACGAAAGTCTAGGATGAAAGTTGAACGTGGTCGGGTCCCAAATGTGCCCAAAACAGGTATACCACTCACCAGGTACTACCCAATGCAGACCGCCTGCGCGCGGTGGGTGGCGCAAACGTGGGACGAAAATGGGGTGTCCACAGCTGCATTTGGTGGTGCGGAGACCACAGTAAGGCAGCTGTGAACAACAGCATTGAGGTTGTGAGGGATTGCGATATTTGTGTACATGGATGCCTGCGGTGTAAAACACGAGGCATGCTGGGAACCCGTGGTGTAGGTGGGAAGGCGGAGCCACCCCGAATCCGAATAATACAACAATCTACAACATAGAGGAGAGTACATATGATACGTGGGCGCGTCGTGCGCGGGAACTGCGGTTAACTGAATCTACAGGGACCAACCGCGGGTGGAAAGCAAGGGAGCGTGTACGAGCAATAAATAGTCGTCACTCGTGAAGTCGTGAAGCTGGCAAGTGCCAAGGGGGGATTAGTCGTTAGAACGGACGAGCTCTGCCATATGCGGGCTGCGCGCTACAATGCGGCATTCGAATGGCTCTGGGTGTCTGCAATCCGAGCGAGGTTGCTTCAGCGCGCCGTCGATGAGCAGAGTGGAACGGGGACTTACGCGACAGCCAAACTCGCAGCCTTCATCTCGAGCTTGCGCAGTGCTCCAGAAGCATCGAGCGGGGCGCTGACGTCGACTGCGTGCAAGATGGATGCGCAGGTGATAAAAAGGGAGGACTCCGCGAAGATGCGCCCGGGGCAGATGCTGTGTCCAGACCGCAGCATGAGCGTCGCCACCAAATGAGGAAAGTACCTAACGCACCGCCTGCCAAAGCCGAATACGAAAGTAGTAGGGTCGCGCACGTCAGGGTTCAGCTGGCCGTCAAGGAGGAACCGCTCGGGGTCAAGGCGCTCAGGGTCTGGGTAATGCGTGGGGTCGCGCGACATCGCCCTGTAACTGCTGTCAACCTACATCAGAGAGAAGAGAAGACGGCAGCACTGACCACAAATTTGGGATGACGAGCGCGCCGGACGGGATGTGGAAGCCGCGGAACTCATCGTCTGCCGCGGAACGGTGCGCACCGCCCACGGGCGCGATGACATGCCAGCGCAAGACCTCCTTGACGAGCGCGGAGACGTACGGGAGGTGTGGGCGGTCGGTGAAGTCGGGGAGGCGGTCCGGGCCAACGACGCGGTCGAGCTCTGCCTGCGCCTTGCGCTGCACGTCGGGGTACATTGCCATTGCGAGCACGAATGCGTGCACAGCTGCGTTCGTCTGCGCGTGCCATGGGAGGCGGGGTCAGTGAGTGGGCCTGGGCGCGCGGGACCGGGTCCGACTTACTGTATCCGCTCCGGCTACAGTGGAGAGAAGACTGTCAGTGTATGTCCGGCATGTCTCCCTCTGCCTGGGTATGTTCGCACGTACATGAATAGATCGTGGCCGTGACGTCCCTCACCAGCGTGTCCTCCGCACCGTCGTCTGTCAACCTAGTTATGATGGACTCGTTCACCCCACGCGAGCCCTGCCACGAGAGACACCAGAGGTCAAATAGTCCGCTCTAGAAAGAGTTGTGGTGCACTTACCATTGCCTCTTTCGCGGAAGCATAGAGCTGGTCTCGGATGGAGATGCTCTCTGCACGCCACTCCGCAGCGACTCGTTTGAAGCGGGCCCCGGGGAACCACGCGGGGAGCCGCTGCAGGCTTGGGAATGCCTCCACCAGGAACTGACCAGGCGTGGCGATGTCGTTCGTGACGGTTGCAAGGCGCTCGACGAGGGTGTAGTACGCCTCGTCGCCCGGGGTCACGTCCAGCCCGTAGACGATCCGGAGAATCGTCGCTGCGAAGGAGCTATATGGGCCCGCACGTCAGAAGGCGCGCACACAATTGGAAAGAGCGGTACTGGAGACGCACAACTTGATGTGGGCGGAGAAATTGCCGGGGGTGGCGAGCAGCGCCCGCAGAAGGTCGCGTGTGGTCTGCAGTTGCACGGGGAAGTAACGGGTTATGGCTTCGGAAACGAAGGCCTGCTGCAGAGCACGTCTATACTTGCGCCAATGAGGGCCGTAGTTCTGGAAGACGAATATCCAGTCCAGCTCCGTCCTGAGAGCGGGTGGCGCAGATTACAGTTAGCCAATGGCGAGGTGGGAGAGTGGGGGCACACGTGCTTACATGTCAACCATGACCAGGTGTGGACGGTGTGAATAATTCGCAGACCTCTTCTCGAGCAGTTCGCATGCCGCCTCGTATGTGTCGACGAGGATGACGGAACGTCCGAGCACTTTGAGACTGACAACATCGCCTACGTACGGTATCGGCTTTCAATGTTTGCCGCATCGTGGATTCGGAATGCGGAGGACGCACCGTACTTCTGCGAGAGCGCGTGGAACTCGGGCCCAAGGTGCTTCTTAGGGAAATCGAGAACATTTCCAAGGAACGGCAGCGGTGGCGGTCCCGGAGGAAGTGGTAGCGAGGTGCGGCTGCGCGTGCTGTAGGCCCGCACAAAAATCGAGAATACGACGACGAGTCCAACGAGAAGAAGCCAGGGTGAGGGCGAAGGATTGAGTAGGGCGTCCATGCGTGTCGTTTGTGGAAGAGCGTCCGTGAATGTACTCGGCTACGGCCGTATATAGAGCCCAGGAGCTGAGCGGCAAGGCAAGGTTCGACGTGAATAGGACCGGGTCGACCCGACCTCAGTGAGCCACCGACCGAGGCGTCCTTGGGTGGCGTGGATGGCGGAGAGGAAACAAGACGAGCACAAACCGAGTTTTGAGTTCGATAATCTGCCATCGCGCGGCAGGGAGTCTGATATGTACCCGTAGATCCGCTAGGCTGCGGCGGTCCCGAACGCTGAGGCCAGCCCTCAACTGCCCGAGCGGAGTTGTGGGACGGAGCCTGGGACAACACGCAGCGTCTGCGAGGCAGAGGGCGCGGCGGAGAGCTGTGAGTCGGAGAACACCCATCCGATGTCGGATATCCGAGTGAGCAGGCTGACGCGCGAGGGGGCCGGGCGCTGCATCAGGTTCTAGTCAGGTTGGACAATGTTCGGTGTACGGCCGCGTTCTGTTCTCGAACGCTGGCGAGGGAGCGCATGAGAGCGTGGGCGCACTGGCGGGAGCCGTCGCGAGAGCTCGCGGAGTCCGCCAAGTCCATATCCGGATTGGGGATCCCGTCGCGCGTGCGCCACGAGGGCTGTGGCCACTCCGCGACCACCACGACAATGTGCTCGAGCGTACGCACATATCGCCGTCAGTCTGTCCCTGTTCTCTCTAGCAGCACACGTTAATCATTACCCGCCGCCCACACAGAGCACTCACTCGGCAGCACACTGCGCCCGTTTCCCGCCGTCTTTCTCGATTTCCACAGGCCGCGGTGTGTACGAGAACGGGCACATCAATCACGAAGCTGATCCTGCCAGGTCTGGGGATGACAATTCACAGGATTATATCATGATCCTGGCCCAGCGAAGGCCTCAGGAGGCTTCCGTGCGTTTATGGGAAAGTACGCACACGCACCCTCCCGGCGGCTGCAATGCCCATCTCGGGCGTTCCTCCGCACATTTCCCCTCTTCCATCGAGTCCCGGCAATTTCCCTCCACTTGTTCGCCCTGGTGCTGATCCTGTCCTTACTTGGCATATATCGCCCGGCCCTGCCCATTGCAGAATCACGTCGCATATCGTCCAGCAACGTGATCGTACCGTGCGACCTGCCGACCGGGGTGAGATCGCAGAATTCGTCGAATTCGACCGCGCGCCTTCTCAACAGGCCGCCCTTCCTCAGTGAATGCGACTTGTCCCCGTGCGACTCAGCATTTGGGGCGGTCGGTTGATTTACGATTTAAGTAGCCCCCCGACTCTAAATCGCACGATCGACCCTCCCCGCCACCCGTCGCTCCCTTACATCCACTCGCTTGTGTATACCATGTCCTCCGGCCAGGGTGCAGGCGATCCCGCTGCGGCTGCGGCTGCCCTCCTTGCCGCGCTGCCTCCCCTCGACAAAATGAGTCTCGTGGCGATCTGGATCGAGACCGTCCTCTACGGTGAGCACCGCCAACACCTTCTCGATCCGCTTAGACTGATCGCCTTCCTTCGCGTGCAGGCATAAAGTACTTGCTCCTGACATTGCCGATGCATGTTCCTCACGCTAACGGCGGCTGTGTAGCGTCGTGGTCTACGGAGGCGCGTTTTACGTCCTCTTCGGTAGGCGAGGTTCGCTCGTACAGCGGTGCGTCGTATCCTTAGACCGGTGTGTTGGAATGGCGTGACTGATAGCCCACCAGGTGTCTGTTGGCCGCGTCCACGTTGCTGTTCGCAATTTCAACGGCACACGTAGCCGTGTCGCTGCGGCAGCTAGTGGAGGCCTTCACCAACTCGGCTATAACGTCACAACCTGGAGGAACAAAACTCTTCTTCTTGAACCAAACAGACGGTCTCGTGTTCGCCGGCCAGCTTCTCTACCTTCTTGCCGTGAGTTGATTTCGATCGACAATCAATCCTTTTCGCTGCGAGATTCTCAATGTCGATCCCATCGCAGGTACTCGTCCAGGACCTTGTACTTGTATGTCGTGGGAGCCAACAGCTGTTATAGGTTGTCCGTCTGACGTCAAACTAGATATGGCGGTTGTACGCTGTGATGAACACCGATTGGAGGGTTTCCATCCTGCCGGTACGTCCGTTATCTCCTCTAGCCATGCGCCAGCCTCACCTCCGTTGGTTCATGACAGCTCTGCCTCGAGGTCACCAACCAAGGTACGCGCGCCAAGTAACACGTTCCCGCAACATTGCTCACGCGCTGCCCACACCCAGTCCTTGCCTTCTACACCATCGTCCAGTTCTTGCACGGTGCCGACCTCGAGGACCCCCGGCTGCGCACGTACGGCATCGTCAATTGGTCGCTGCACCTCATCATCAACATCGGTGTTACTGGCGCGATCGCGTGCAAGATCTGGTGGCAGGGCCGCAAGACCGTGCATGCGCGCGGCCACAACGCGTACGCCGGCGTCGCGTTCACGATCATGGAGTCGGGTGCGCTCTTCGCGGGCGCGACCATCGTCCTCTTCGCGCTGTACATCAACCCGGCCACCGGCACGGACGCGCTCGTCGGCGTGAACCCCGTCGCCCAGCTCGCTGTGCGTCCTGTCTTTGTCACTCCCTCGGCCACGTTTGACTGACCGAGACTTTCTTACAATACCAACAGACGCTCTCTCCGCTGCTCATCATCGCGCGCGTCGGGTTCGGGCTGACGCACAGCGGCATGCGCTCGCACACGGCAACAGGCTCGTCCCACGTCACCTCGGGACGCTACGGCGCGCACTCGGACGCGGTCCGCATCGACATCAACCGCTCGCAGATCACGGACGGCCAGAACGCGGACTTCTACGCCATGAGCGCGGTGAAAGTCGGCTCCGTCGCGGACAAGGAGTCCGTCTGAGCCTGCGCCCGTAGTCTGCGCGCCGATCCAGTGGCGTTCAATTCAATACCCCCGCCTTTGTCCGCGCTCCGTTCGGGGGCGGAGGCGAAGGGGATTGGCGCAGGCCACTACTTCGGGCGGGCGGCACCGCTCACCGCCATTAAGTTATGGGCGTCGGCTCGTCGCGACCGCCGTTACATGTCGTTTCACGCGTGGCACACGCCTTTTTTTTCGGCACGACACGCGCGCGTATCTTGTTGTATGTTGTACAGCAGCTGAGCTTCCACACCACTAGCACGCCCTGGGCACCTGCGGTAGGCGGGGGCCCGCGGCGTGTAATTTATTCCGTCTATATTTGGGGAGGACAGGTGTACGGTACGGTATACGTGTACGTGGTGTTGTTGAACATTCGACGCCCGTGGCCTGTCGTATAGAGGCGCGGACGGTGTTGTACTTTGGGGAAAACTTGGAGGAACTGGGACTCTGTTGTCTGTTGTCTGTTGTCTGTTGTCGTTGTTCAGAAGCCACTCGTTATTCGGTCGTTCAATCGTTCATTTCTGTGTTCTATGGAGGCGGGATCGAGACATACACAACATCAACGCAGAGTAAGTAGAGGAGAAAGTAAGGGGAGCATAATTGGCATTGAGCAGCTAGGTCTTACGGTAGTAGCGGGGGTACAAGTACATCAGAGTAGGGAGAGGCAGAGTAGGTAGGTACCAGTACGTGTGAGCAATCGACTAGTAGTACAAGTATTCATGAACGCTAGCAACAAGCACGACAGCAGGTCAACATGTAACAAACGACCACCGGCAGGGACAACCTCACCGCTGCTCCCCGCCCCACCCGCCGCCACGCCCACGATTCCTCCCTGCAGGCCCACCGCGCCCGCGCGGCTTCTGCCACCCGCCGCCACCACCGTTCCCGCCACGTCCGCGCGCGCCCCGGCCACCTCGGAAACCCCGCTCGCCCCGGTCATACTCGTACGAGTTGCCGTGGTTCTGGTACGGCCGCTCATTGCGGTCGTACCCTCCACCGGCCCCGTACGGCTGCTGGGCCCCGGGGAACGGGGGCCCCTGCTGGTGCGGGTGCTGCTGTTGTGGGTATGGCGTGGGGTACTGGGACGGCGCCGGAGGACTTGGGCTGGCCCACGCCTGCAGCGCGGCTTGAGGCAGTGCGATCGGCTGCGGGATGGAGACGGGTTGCTGCTGGCCATGGGCGGACGACAGAGCGTGTACAGGGAGTGGGATGCCGTACGGTTCTGGGTGCGGCTGGTGTGGGACTGGGGCTGGCGTGGTCTTGGCAAGTGTTTGCAACATCAGTTGAATCTGCTCCGGGGTCAGTTGAGCTACCTCAGCAGCAAGGTTTGAGGGCGGGGGAGAGGCGTAGGGCGCTGGGTGAGCGTGAGGAGGGATGGGCGGGGCGGACTGGGATGGCGGCGGAGGCGGTGGGGGTTGAGATGGCGGGGGAGGCTGTAGGAGCCCAAGCTGATGGAGCTGAGCCAAGTCAAGGTTGGGAACCGCTTGAGGTTGAGGCACTGGCATGGGCACGGGCGTTGGCGCAAGAGGCGGAGTAGCTGAATGCGCAGGGGCTGCTACTGGTGCGGGCAGGGTCGCGGGCGGCGCGAGCTTGCCCTTGTTGAGCACCCAGATGCCAACGAGGTAGTCGACACTCCTTGACGTAGGGAACTGCAGTTGGTCGAGAAGCTCCATATACTCCGGTATCGGGTCGCTCGACAACAGCGGTACTATGTAAAGCTCGCGGCCGGGTGCACTTGACTTCGGGTTATGTCCCCAAGGGAATATGAGCCCATGTCGGCTGTAGAGCGACACCGTCAGCATATGAGAAGATAAGAAGTTTTCGAAGCCATGTACGTACCTCTTCGATAGGAGGTGGTTCTTCACGGCGTGGAAGCCAGAGGGATCGGTGCCGTCCGCAGGCGAGAACGCAGCCGCGATGAGCTCCTTCGTAGGATTCAAGCGGACTTGCGTAAGGTACTGCGCAGACTTCTCGACGGGAACCCGCCCGTCGATCCGCAGCTCTCCCGAAGGGAAGAGGGTCCGCCAGAGCGGAGAGTCGTGGCCTAGTGTCCGTCCGCCGGTCTGCCGCGCAATTACAGCAACCTCTTGCGGGATTGCGGAGTCGAGGGGCATGCTCACCTGTTGATGATTATCAGACAACTGAGAGTATTGAAAGATAAAAATGAGGAAGACGTACCGTGCCAGACCAGATGATCGGGTGGTCCTCGAAGGTAGCCGGTTTCGCTTCAGGAGCAGGTTCGACAGGCGCAGGCGGCTCCTGCTTCGTCTCCGGGTCCTGGTCGTTCCCGTTGAGGAACATGTCGAAGTCCTGGTCCTCCGTGTCTAGCTGAAGCTCGTCTCCAGTAGGCTCCGTGACCATCGCGTCGGGCGCGTCCTGGGACTCGGGTGAGGCAGAAGCCTGGCCTTCCATGGGGTGGTCGGAGGAAGAAGGGGTCCACAAGGCATTGAGGTCGAAGGATGGGCGGGAGGAGAGGTCGGACGGGGAGCCCTTCGCGGCGAACGGCGAGATGCCGGTCGTGGCGGGGGTGACGGGTGACGCAGTGGACGGACTAGCGTGGTCGGACCCCGTCCTCACGAGCAGCGGCGGGGCCTCCCCAAAGGGCGTCGGGATCGCGTCGACGGGAGTCATGGCGATTTCCCCCGACGGCTCTTCGTCGATGTTTATGAGATCCGCGAGGTTCAACTCGTGCTCCATCGATGCAGCAGCAGCATAGTCAGAGGCAGACGGCACGAACAGAGGTCGAGTAGACGACGCGGACGGGGACATGTCGGCACCAGCGTGCAGCGGGACGGGCGGCGGCGCACCCCACGCGGGGTTGTGGGGCACAACGGGCGACTCAGGCGGGGCGGAGCCCACGGACTGGGCGCGCTGCGCCTGCAGGCGGAGGCGCGCGAGGCGCTCTCTCTCAATGCGTGCGGCCTCCTCGTCCTCGCGCTCGCGCTCAGCTTCGAGCCGGCCGGCGCCGGTCACATCCTCGATGTCCTGCAAGCCCTTGTGCGTGAGCTTCGCACGGGGCACGGTCGCCTTCTTGAGGATGGAGTGCGCGAGCGCCTCCTCCTCGAGCTTTTTGATCGACTGCTGCTCTTCCGCGCTCGCGAGGTCAGTGGAGGACATCGTGGACAGCTCTTTCGGTGATATATGGGACGACGCTATACGCATGTGCAGCACAACACGGTCCGCCTTGCTCAAGTTAAACGTAAGCATCCGGAAACGCTCTCTGTTGGGGCAAAGCCGACGTTGTAAGCACAGGTGTTCCACGGAGGATGAAGGCTAAAACGACTCACTTGTACTTCCCCGCAGCGACCTGCTTCCCTTGTTTGTCCAGCTCAGCGTAGAGCTCATATATAGACTGCTCAAGATCGGTGCCAGCCTGCCTGGCCTTCGTCTCCAGCTGCTCCTTCTCTTCGGGCGTAAGATCCTCTGGCTTCTTGTCTGGCACCAACTCCCCACTACGCTCGTGCTCGCCTTCGGACGACGGCAAGAAAGGATAGCGTGTAAAGATCTGACAGAACAGCTCATGCAGTTTTCCAAGACAGTACTTCCGAATAGCATCGTCTCCAGATGTAGACTCAGAACGAGGGCGCTTAGATGGTGGTTGAGGTTGACTAGAAACAGACTGCTTCCGCTTCTGCTGGGATGTGACCGCAGGTGAGGACTGCTTGGTAGGCGCAGGTTGCTTCGTGGCCATGCCGCTATGCCTGAGACGCTTGGGACTCATCGCTCGATGCGATGCTCCCGAGTCTGACTCGTCATCAGACTTGTATGCCTGTCGACGGGCGCGGGTCTAGGAGGAACAACTGTCAGGAAAATGTGTACACTGGACACAAGTATACTACGTACCTTGGGAGCAGCTTCTGGGCGAGGGCTATACGCCTCACTTTCGCTAGATGAACCCGACGCCTCCGCTTTCACCTTCGGTGCGACCTGCTTGGCGGTGGGCTTCTTCTTGCTCCTAGTGCTCGAAGACGGTGCGCTGGCATGGTCGTTTGCGACGAGAACCTCTTGAACTGCCTCTGGACCTTCCCAGTCCTCTGAAAACGATGGTTTCACAGTCAGCACCTCATCGTCGACTGATTCATGAAGACACCAAAAGCTGAACGAGATATTATGCTACGATATATGACGGCATGATTCCTAGAGCTGCTCCGACGTGCATGTTCGCACTTGCCTCACATAACCCCATCATAACGGGGATGTCTACCAAGCGCCCTCATAGGTTCACACCGTCCGGCTGGGTAAACTATCGCTAGCTAGCTACAGCAGCACCACGAAGCAACACCATAGAGCAGCACTACAGCGTATAGTTGGACTTGCTGTAGCTCTACCACACACTCAGGCCTCCAGCACGACATGCATGAGGGGACAAGATGTTCTTGCAGGAACGAGCGGAGCGGGTGTTACTACTGCTATCGTATTGTGGCATGTACATCGAAAGGCGCCAAGACAGCACCGCGCAGCGGCGGCGGATGGCATAAACGGGCAATGGAATACTCACTTATAGTTCTGTCGCCAGTCTTCTGGTGGCAGGAAGGGCAGATGTAAAGCTCTGTGGGAGGAGTTATGTGTGGTGAGTTCGCACGGACAACGGGGCGATAGGAATGAGGCACTTACGTATCTCGTCCGCATCCTTCTCGCTCAGCTCAACGCACCGAAAATGGAACCTGTGCACCGTATGTCAGAGCCCGGATGGCAAATCGATGAGATCCTGCTGCATGCCACATACCAGTCTTTACAGCTCGCGCAGTGGATCATGGGCGATCCGTCGTCAGGCTTCTTGCAAATGCAGTACGGCTTAGAGGAGCTTTTTCTCGTTACTCTGGTCCTTCCTGACGGCCCATTCATCTTCACGTTCTCTTTCTCGTCTTGTGCTGCCGGTACGTCTTCTTGATTTGCTTGATTTGAAGTCTCCGCGCGCGAAGCTTGGCGGGTGCGCACTGCGGAACGGGTGGACATGGTGGTAGCGGTCAACGGTGCGTGGGAAGAAAATTGAGCGGCCGTGGTGGCGTTATGTGGCTACCTCCCGGCGTTTGCCGGGTCTCCCAAACGGGAAGGATGTGAAGGTTAGTGAAGGGCAGCTGCCCGCGCGCGGAGCAAACGCCTCTTCGTTCCTCTTTCACTCTTACCAACACTTTGCTTTTACTCTGCGACTCGCTGCGATGGCAATCTTCATAGTGAGTATGCGTTTCTGTTGCTGTGAAAAGGGTTGATAACGAAGATTATGTGGTTATATGCGCATATATGCGCATATCACGACACAGAGGTGAGTGCTGGCCAGCTCCAGGGCAGTCCAGTCGAACGCTCAACGTGCATTCTCCTAGCCGGAGAGTTCTTCATCAACGGCCTTACGAGAGCTCAACGTTCAGGCTACCTCAGATCCGGAGCGCGCTCCATATCTCGCAAGAAGATTAACAACGCCGCGGGGCGTACCTGAGACGGAGAACGAAGAAGCTCAATGCCGGCACACAGGAAGCGGACCGCCGACACGTTCATGCACGCTGCGGCCCAGAAAAGCGACATACGGCCACGCGCGGCTTCGCGTTGCGACATTTGATAACGAGCACTGCGCAGCGTGCAGTCCGTTCAAGGTGTCTGGCCCCTGCCATTCCCATCGCTTTGAGGCGTCGTTGCATGACCGACCTCATGTCGAGCTGCCAACGCCTCATTGCCATGCTTGGTGGGAGTTTCCAAGACACGAGCTTTTGTACTCATAGATAGGAGGCATGCGCCTGTTCTTGTTCTCCAACCACCTCCTCGCTGCGGTGCGTCTCCGACTGCTGACATTTGCGCGCGCAAATAACCTAGTCCTGATCAACAGACGGACGCCGAGTGTCCCCTGTGAAAAGAGGTGAGTAAGTCAAACCATGGCTGTGTTCTTATCTGAGGGGCACGTCTGTGACATTCCTAGCGTGTTATGCAGATCGACTGCCCCTGTGGGCGGCGGTACCACACTGTCTAAGAACGCCGGCGGGTGCCTTCAATTGCTCCACCACAAGGGCGGCGCACACTCAAAGCGACGGGACTTGCTGTTCCGTCGACCTCCGCGACACCTCACCCCGCCAAACCATTGCTCGCCATTGATTGCCCGCGAGGCTTATGCGCCGAGGTCGCCGACTTGGGTGCTGGTATTGCGCTTCTGCACGCCCACGGTGTGGAGCACTTTCTCAAGGTCAGTACCTGCCATCTTACCATGCCGGCGGCGGCGCAGCTGTGGCTGAGCCATCTCAATTAGTCTCATAGCCTCGGCGCGGGTTCATCGGCGAGCGCGAGCTGGGCGTCGGCCGCCATATGTCCGCGATCGCATCGTGCGTTGGCGACCGATGCTGAGCTCTGGCGGCTGGAGGCGCATCGCTGCTGTCGTCAGTGGCGTTTCGGCGAGCGCGCGGGTCGTCGACGCGCGATCGCTGGCCCGATGGCGAACCCACGTGATCGTTGCATGCGGTTAGACTCCCACGTCGGGACGCGTTCTGGACGTGTCGTCCGCTGCGAGGGTGCGCTCTTCCTATCTGCGTCCGCTAGAGCTGAGATAGCGCGTTGGGCCACCTGAACATCACACCATCAATGATTACTAAACCCGATGCACCCCCTGGGGTACCTCGGGTTACTTTGACTTGAACACCCACATGCCGCCCGCTACTAATAATTCTAGCAATAATTCGTGCTCTTCCCTAATGAAGAAGGACGTCCCTCCCCTAAGTACGAGGGCCTACGGACGTAGAGTAGATTAGATGGTATAGTAGATCAGAGTATAGATAACAAGTAATCTACTGATAACGAGTACATCGTCCGATATTGCCGGGCGTCGAGTCCGCCATCAGCGCCCGCTGTTGATGCCATCGGCAACGCTGTCTCCCGCGTTGTCCAGCCCCTCGTGACGTCGTTGCTGACGGCGCCGACGCTCCGCCGCCTGGGCGCTTTCCCGCCCCGACCTCCCCCAATCCGGTAAGCAGTACCTCGGGTAGGAGGCTGCCCCCCCTCGGCGGGCCATAGCTCGCTCTCCCATTCACCGATTGCATTCGTTGTTTTTGTATTATGTGCGTATTATGTAGGGGCTACCCAACGCACTTTGTCCGACGTCGATATGTGCAGTACTTATTCATGG